TTTGCTTCTAACAGACTCAAAACTCGTTTTGCTTTTAAATATGGCCGAATGAAGACGTGTACAAGCAATCAATGTGAGATCTATTGTAGAAGCAGATGCTGAGGTTTACCTTCTTACAGGCCCGTAAACAACCGACGTTTACTCCTCGGTCGCACCTCTGGTATTATCATTTCCTGTGCGAGCTGCTACCTGGCTATGGTTTACATGCTACAAGTGTTCTCCAAGCGCATCTCCAGATTTCCTTAAATACACTTACATGCCTGATGTGCAAACTGAAAGCCCAGAATCATTTCTCATCATTGGAGGATCTGAGTTCAACTTGCTCGCAATTAGTACTGAAGTTTGTTCAAAGTACCCTGGCCAATCCATTAGGCCGAATTACATGTACTTCTCATTTTTAGTCTACGATACATAAAATGTCAACGATGTGTTTTGATTGGTATCGACCATCTAGTTCTTAGTGCGTGACAAGTAAAGAGAACTTACCAGTACCAAAAGCAAGTTTTTAATCTGTATTTGTTAATGACGATCATCTCATGCAGTAAAAAATAGTTTAGAATTAAAATCAGTTTTATTTCTTTGTTATATTATTCATTCGTACATCTTTTTCAACTAAGATGAGTTGCGTATTATCAGAGGAATTTTCGACTGCAGCTAAAAGGGCATCAGATATCTGGACATTTATTGTTGTTGATGGCTTCTAAAGGGCAATTACTCGCATTTAGAGTGGATGGAGCATCTGACAGCCATACCCGTCTGTACGTCTTTGCCCTTTCTAAGAGTTTAATTTTGCTTCTCTAATTAAGTATACTAGACTTTGACATCCAAACCAATCTCAGATCTCTTTCTAATGGCTTTCCGTTTGTGATGACTCCTCTTCATTTCTCTTTATAAATATAAGCTTAGTGATAAGGCTCGGGTCTATGGATTCTGTGCGTTTCTTTCTTTTGAAATTGCCTTTTTTCACTATTTTACACTCTCCCTCTCTTCAAAAACTAACATTTTTCTCGAATGATTGGTTGAATTGATTGATTGAAGAACAAACTTGTTTCTTCATCATAGGTTACTTTAATACTTACGACACAATCCAGGGATCCCATGTACGAGGACATCTGGGATTATATTCTCCAACACTTAGCTCCGAGCCTCTTCCAAATCAGGTATGACTGTTATTCAAATATAAGTTTCCGTATCCTTTTTGGTGTTATCGTTGTGTCTTCAGGTCCTGCTATGTTTCATAATATAGGTGGATATGTTTAACACCCAGGCTTCAGTTAACACCTATATTTATCAACTGGTCATACTGTTCCAGAGGGATACGCTATAAGGTCTAGCTGTATGTATGCCTCTTTGAAAGAAAGCAATTTCCTAATGAAAGTAGCAATCGCGACACAGACATAGAGGGTTGTATTCCCAAAGCTCTCAAGAAGGATGGCCTGATTTAATTATGTCATTTCCTTTGAATGAAGTAAACTGCTGCAGTTTCTCCTTTGATTTTTATAATTCTCCTCTGCTTTTGCCTTGGTAATGGTACCTCTTTCCTTGAATAATGTATCTAGGTTTATGTCAAACTGAGTCTCTCAAGCAAAGTCTAGAATTCATGTTTGTTACTCAATCCAAAGTAAAACACCGATAAGATTATTTATGCTGCAGTAATTAATGATACAAACGTTTCTTTCACTAACGTGCCCCATCACCTCCATGGTACCCAATCCAAGCTTAATTTGTTCTTCTCATAAATCAGATTAATCCGAAAGTCAAGAGTCCTGATACAATTTCATTAAAAGAATTGCGCAATTATTGCATCAACGTAAATTGCCTCTGCCCAGTGTGGCTTAGAATAACAAAATGAATTATATAGGCTATCTGGATAACTAAAGAATAGCGATGGGGATCTCGAATTGATGGATGCCGTTTGTTTAATGTGTAAGATTAACAATACGATTAATAACAATAACAGTCTTATGTTTAGTCTTGCCTCAAGACTCTGGACCCCCCTGTTGTTGAAGTGGGGGGGGGGGTTGAAGCATGAACTTTTCATTATCTTATTATTAGTCTGATGTGTAAGGTATGAAAAATCTAAGGAGAGGATGCCATAAAGTTATCTTGACCTGACTAGTCTCAGCATACTGGTCATACTGTTTAACCAGCACATCAAGGTGCCACTTTGATCCATCAAGGTATGTATGACTGAAGGAATACACTGGTTAAACAATATGTCAAGAAGCTGTCTTAGCACGGATCTCGAACAATGCAACGTTATATATAAATACACTGTGTTTACCGATCATCAACACATGAGATAAATGTATAAAAGATATCGGTATACGATAAAAAATGTCCTCTCTCGTAAAATTCCGTTTATACCCTCCATCTCTACGAATGGAAGGGTAAAAGGCCCGTAACAAGATGAGCTTTGGAGAGTATAATGAACTATGAACAGAGGAAAGTGAAAAACCAATCACACGTATAACGAGCATAATGAGACAGTAGACATGTGTGATTCTGTTCCTGTCACTAAAGAAACACCATATCCTCAGCAAGTGGTAACAATCCACTTGCAATCAGCTCTCTGTCACTTCCCTCAAAACACAAAGCCTGAGAACAAAGTAACAGAAAACACAGCCAAAAGTCACAGAACGTTGACCTTCAATAGTAAAAATAAACCTCGTATTGTTCTTTTACTTCTTTTATGTCTGTGTTACAAATTAAAAACAAACCCCGTTGAACTATAATGTACACACACTTGATTCCAAAGTACTTGACTGTGGGAAATACAATATATGACCGAGGAAGACTCCTCCAGTCCCCTCTAAATATAAACCCAATCTCCAGTATTCGTTCACTCGCTTCCGACCCCGTCGCACGGGTGAGGGCATGGGTAAAAATTTTAGGGCCCAAATAAATGGGCATTAATGGGTCTTTTTGGACCTCATTTTTTAATTTAAGCCCAAATTATCAAAAAATGGGGCATCCATTTTCAACATTTGCTCCCAATTCTCTAAATCCCTTTCCTGGTTTAGAAAAACGAGAAAAACTGGTATTACATAACGAGGAATGTTCAGACTTTCAAACGGGGTTTGCCATTGTTATATCCACAACTCCTGTTCTATGTAAAGTGACTGATAGATCAGATTTGATAGGTGGCAAGTGTTTACAAAAACAAGCAAGGGCACACATGGATGTAATTTTCCATTTCTTTAATAATTGCAGCTACCTTATGTGAACCCCATTATCATCTCTTGGCTAGCCTCTTGTCACAGATGAAGATGCTTTCTAAGTGTCCATTAGAGATTCATTTACCAGACCAGCGTTCCCAATATCATATAAATTACAGTTATCTGCCAGAACCAGCGTCTAAAATACACATCTGATAACCTATACCATCACCTGGACGTTATCCTTAATAGATCATTCCTTCATTTTGTTTGTAATTCTTTGATGGAAGGCTTGTATCCGTGAGTTATTTGTCTGATGATGATTTTTATCTTTGCTTTCCAAAGATTTCCTTTACAACAAAACGGTGTTTTAGTGTTCATCAGTTATCTACCCGTTTCACTCTATCAAACATATCACGAGATGACATGGGGTCTTATGTGCCCCCCCCCCCCTCCACTCTTCATTTTACCATTTTGAAAATGGAATCAACAGAAATACCAGCCCCAGACCGGTCTATGCTCTACACGGTACAATCGTACATTACTTCCCAATAATATCTACTGGGCGTGTTGACATTTTTTTAAACTTAAGACAATGTCGTAATGTTTGATGTTTTCACAGCTTGTGCAATTCTAACAACGTGTGACAAATAAGGATACGTCATCAGCATAGTTTCTGTGGGTCGATCAACAGTATCAATATCACCGTTGATCTCATCCATCACGATGACTGAGATCATCTCAAGTTATAACAATCAGTGTGGGCGACAATATTGCCAACTCATGTGATACGTGAAATAAGAGGCATCGTCACTCGATTGTAACAGAATTCATGTAGGCCTAAGTTGTGTCGTTGAAATTAAAAAGGTGCAATACCGTGATATCGAACGTCCAGGCGCTATGATTTATTCTTGTGTTTTGAGATTCTAGCTACTGTTCCTGCTGCAATTTCTTTTTTGGCAAAGAATATTAATCAAGTCCATGTGAAGGAATGAGTGAAAAAATACTGAAAGCAATCCTTTCATGAATCTATGTGTTATGTCCGTCAATTACATTACAATTTTGATGTCCATTATATAATTTTGATGTCAATTACATAATAATTTCGATGTCAATTACATAATAATTTTGATGTCGATTGACTAGATGCGAGTAGAAATCATCTCAAATTACGTCATTATTTATTCGAAAGTCAAAAATTATACCCTAATGTAATATCACATTAAAGCACTGTCATGAAATAGAGTCAGATGCCTTTGAATATTTATAAGATGGACAATAAAATGATAAATAATGTGTGATAAAATCGTCAAGGGAAGGAGGCACTATTTGTATGAACAAGTGCTAGGATAACGTAAAATCGTGATAATTTCTCTTGGACCAGTAACCCTCACTTCTATCCTGCATTGCCCCTTTAGGTGATACAACGTGAAAATCATAACGCGAACTGGATGTAACACAATCTATCAGCACTTATCTTATGAAATTGAAGCAAAATAAAACCACGCGGTGTTCAACCTTAACGACCGTCGTCTAATTACTTGAGTTTAATTGCTACGATAAGATAACATGACATATCCTTGATCATGCTGTCATGTTTCTTGTGTCAGTTTTCATATTATTTTTGACCCTCACCTGAAATAGCAATATCCTTAATGTTGAATGGCGATAAAGTAAAACAAAGTAAAAAAAACAGTAAAAAGACATAAATGTATTTTCTTTCACCACATGTACACATGTAAGTACTAAGTATTTTAGAAATCCAATCGCATCTTTGGTGTATTCATACTGTTGCTGATATCCCTGCCAGTACCCCAAGAACCTAAGTGAAAAACAACGTACCTATATTGCAGTTGCTGGTAAAGATGTAGAAAGTCCAATTTGATGTATTTTCCTTTCTAGATAACGTCTTTTCCGTTTTTGTTACTTTCGAAATTCGTCCCTACACTTAGATACGACATAATTCTTCATTTCAGTCATTATCTTATTAGTATCACTGACTGAGTATCCACTCCCATATATATTACAATCGTTCACTATAAATTCGGTTTCATTTTTTGGCTTCAATGGTACGTTGCAGTACCAAACCTGATCATTTGAAGCCAAACACTCCTCGATGTGTTAGTTTACGTGTACTCTAGCAGTATAACTCACAGATTGAGGTTATTCTTGTGTTCTATTTTGATCGTATATTTCCCAAAGGCAGTGGCCAGTTCCTCACGGAAACACTTGAGAATCTTGCTTACTTGGTTCTGGCTAGCCGGTCAATACCACTTCTGTGGCTTACCAACAGCAACAGGGAATATATGGGGAGCATTCCGATACTCGATTCAGTTAATCAGAAATTCTAAATTAAGTTTCGCTGATTAAGAATGAGTCATAATATTTTGATATGATAGCCTCGTTTATTGATGTGTATCTATGAATCTACCAATGCATGACTAATATAGGATATGCTATAAATCTCTTCAATAATCAAATGAAATTAGTTCACAGAACGATTCTATGAGATATTAATTGGGTTTTAACAAAAACAATTTTCGCTCAATTGAAATGATTCAGAATCTTTAATATTGTATTTGTAGGAAATTTGAGTAGGAAATATGTTTTTACTTGTTAGTGATACTGAAGATGTGTTTCCTTATAACTGGTTGTATTCTTAGGTTCCTTTTCTAACTAGGTTTCTAAATATATTTTGATTTTTTCATTGCTGAACTTGTGCTTCCATATATAATTTATTTAACACTAAGGTACTATTCTGTTTCCATATATATAAACCAATAATTATGTTTTTTACATGTTTAAGGTTTAGACACATTTTCTCCAGAAAGATTAACTGAATCCATATATCATGTATATAGGATTCATATTCACGAGATTTTCGATCATGGAGAAATTAATTGATGAAGAACAAGTCGGGAATTGTATTTTCAATCCTATGAGTCACAATCCCCCATGGATGAATTGGAAACCCAGAAGTGCACAAAATTACAATAATATTGATCCGTGATTGCTCTGCAGCATTTATAAAACAAACACCATTGTCGGACTTAGATTAATCAATAACGTTTTATTTTTGGTCCATATGTATGTATTAAAGAGTGCCTCATCCTCCAAATGCAGAGCTCAAGACTTCACTAACTCTATCCCTTCCTTCCTCCTTCAGAGTGGATGATGTTTGGAGCCCTACGTTGGAGAATGTGTGTGACGTCGATGCTCAAATACCACCTTTACTTATTGAAATCTGAGTATAAAAAGTTCTTACAGACTTAGTACATCTATAGGTAAAGGTGTTCAACAGCACCAATTATAAAAAAATTATGGCTTCAAAAGTCATGTAACAATAGTGATGTTGATCCAGGATTATAGATATCCTCAGAATCACTGATCAATCACCTTAAAATGTTATTTTCAAAATCTCTAAAACGATGGATATTCTGAATCCAAATATAAACATAAATATCAGTATTTTTTCAGTGATTGCTCACTCAGAGTAAGAAGTATAAAAATATCTTATAAATGTGTCCCTGCGTGATTTGCCTGACCTCTATATGTAGAATTCAAGAGTAAAATAGCTTTGAGAAGAGAGTGTCTTGCTTTGCTTGTATGACATCTATGAATGGACTGGTTATAACTGCATCTTCAACACATCTCTTCTGGTTCCTAAAATTACAGAAAATTTTATTCATCCCTAATTGTACTTCTTTCTTATAGTCTTTGTATTGTATACTGAATGGAACATGCAGACACCTAATATTTGAATCCCAATGTAGAATGACTTGTTTCAACCCCTTGTGACCCCAAAACATGTTCCACTATGAGAAGAACAAAATAACATGGAGGTCAATGTTCCATGAAGGATATTTCATATATAAATAATTACACACATACCTTTTTAAAATAGATGGCACCAACTGTTGCAGTTTGTATTGTATATTTTGTCCCTAAAATGTAAAATTATAGAAAAGATGGGTACCATCAGAATCAAAAGATTTGGGGCCCAGAATCTGCTCATCCCAACATTAAGTAACTGGGCAAATCAGTTAAAGTGTGCGCCAAAGTTTAAAACTGCGCAGGCGCACCGCTCTCGCTAAACTATATAAAGAGATTACCAGGTACACGATTCAGAGGTAAGCCAGGAAGGCGAACGATCTTCGTCTCGTGATGATTTCCCATATAATCGTAACCAGGGAAGTTTCACCATTGAAATTGAAAATTACTATTAGATATACTTTGTAGATGTTATTTATGAAGCTATTTAGTGTTTGCATCAATCAAATAGCTCATTTTGAACATATAAAAAGTATTTGTGTTTTGTTTCCCAGGGAATTGTATTGTGTAGTACACACATAAATAGTGTAAATTATACAGTACTTGAATAGCCTGGTTTACATAATATTGAAGGGCATGCTGATTACATGCACACGAGTACATGAATGAAGGCCTAATATTGATATACGTAGCTTGCATACCTAAATAAAAAATAAACTCTTCTAATCCCCTAATGTAAACATGGCGGTATACGTAGCCCGATTTATCGGGGACTTTAATTAACAAACTGACATTACTGGGCATTATTTCTTAATTTTGGGCCCCTCCCTCTTCATTTCCAGGACCACCCCTGTGACATCACAACACATTTCACTTATTCACAGGTCTGAAGTCTGAAAGGGAGGATCATTAGATGTTCGTCTATCAATGCTCTAATCATGAACAAATAACACAGATTCATTGAACTACATTTGACTTTATTCCAATCACTATCAATGAATTGGAGGCTTAAACTGGATGAAAAAAAATCACAGAAAATGGCACTTATAAGCTGGCCAAAAATGATCCAATTTTCGCATATTTCAAGCAAAACAACCATTTTTGCCACCATACTATATTGCAGAAAAGCTTGAACACTTACCTGTAGAGGGCCTATGATTGACAGCCGCACTGCACTTGCTACTATACACCTTAAAACTCCAAACATATACATCTCAATAACTTCCTGCTTTCCTACACCAAGAACAGAGCAAATGTAGCCAAACATCACTGGGTGGTGGCCTTCGAGTTTATTCTCATCTATCAGGGCTTGGATACTACCCAATAGGTGGAGCTCTGTTGCTTTATAGGTGGTATCTAACATAGACCTGCCCTGGAAAAGATATATTGTATGTTTTATACCGACCTCATACCTGCTTTATATATTCTCATATGTTAAGTATTCTAGGATTATTTTTCAACCGATACTCTTTTAAGATCTATTAAAAAAGGCGCAACGCAACCAACGTGCAAAAGTCAAAGTTTTTGCTATAAATCAAGCAACAATGGACTACACGACCTGTAATAAATACTTGTAAGTGATGTTATCATAACTAAATTAATGTCATTGCTGAATTTATAAAATAAGTTTCCATATGTAAAATAAAAAATAATTGAAAATAGAGTTGACGGAGGGGGGGGGGGGAGTAATAATTCTATAAAGTGAAACAACTTCACACGAATTCTTGTATTTGAAAAATGAACTCATTAACTTAGTAAGAAACTGGATGATATACCCCTGGAGACTGAAAAATGGGGACATTTGGAGTAAAAGGACTTAAAGTCGCGAAACATCTCTAATCATGTCTTATATACATATTGCTCCCCCCCCTCCGTCCCCTCCCCCCTCCGTCCCAAATTCATTATTTTCGATTATTTTAAATTTCACACATGGAAACTTATTTTATGAATTCAGCAATGACATTAATTTAGTTATGATAACATCACTTACAAGTATTTATTACAGGTCGTCCAGACCATTGTTGCTTGATTTATAGCAAAAACGTTGATTTGTGCCTGTTGATGGCCTTGCGCCTTTTTTAATAGATCTCATACCTTAGATGCGTATCGTTTCAGAAAAAATCCCAGAAACCTAACATATTCTACCATACCATGCGCCTATCCATTAAGTAATTCAATAGTAAACTTTTTCTTGAAAAAATAAATCTTCCAGATTTGTTGAATTTCCTAGCAGAAATTGCCTGCTCCCCCCCTCCGTCCCATATTCACGATCACCAGGCGTGATTCTGTAACTTTATCATATTACATTGCACAGTGTACAGCATGTCATTGTTGGTCACTGTCGGGAGTGTCAAGCTGATATTATAGGAAAAGATTAAAGGGTGGATTGGATCGAGTGGATTGGATTCATGTAAAAGGTGGATTGGATCAGGAATCTTCAAAATATGGAATTTCAACTTAACCTGATGAAGATGTATGAATACATCGAAAATTTGTAAATTTCAACATTTTGTTTTGTCTTTAACACTTATTAACATATTATGTTTGAGATATTTCTATAGAGAGGCTCAGAGAGGAAGTAGTCCATACGACACCCCAAAACTATGATATAAAAAGATTTTCACTTGGGAGAGGAGTTCAGAAACATGAGTCATACTGTACCTGCCTAGAGCTAGCTCTGTTAGCTATGTGGTTGGAGAGACAGGCCTCACAGGTATTATCCAGGTCTATTAGGCGCAATATAGACTCCTGACTTGGATGTGACATTTTGGGGTTGTCAATAACTTCAGGGAGTGTAGGTTCATCAACAGCTTCATAAGCAGCTTTCACAAATGGTATATTAAACGACCCTGTAAGTGACAGTAAACGTAAACATTAAAGTGTAGAAGAACAGGTCATATATACTAATATAAATCAAAGTTAAACTGTAAATATTGTATCATGGTAACTGTAACATGGTAGAGCAGGTGATTCTCTTTCATATTCATTTGGTTTTATTAATTAGATGATAAATTATTAAAAGCTCCACCTTAATCAAGATACATACTTTGTGAGTTATTCCCATGACGAGTATGGCATCAGGTATATCCCAGCAGGTCAGATAATAGAAATGATTTGGGGAAGCCAGACAATATTGCATAAATTTTTATTCCATATTTGGATGTGATGAGGTACATAACACAGGTTTGTAAAATGTTGTATTTTCATCAGCGTCCAAAACCTCCCTTAACAAAGCCTTCATGTGTTCCTTAGAACCTGAATGTATAAGAAGGTTTGTTATAATGTAACTTACCAGCATTTTCCATTGAGCACACAGCAAACTTGAGCAAATCATCTGAAATACAGTCAGAAACATACACAAGCCAAATCAAGTGTTTTTATTCAAGAATCAAAATACTTTAAATTATTAGTCGGGAAAAAAGTGTTCAGTAGAAGGTGCTCGGATAAACCAGGTGTTTGGATACACAGGTTACACAGTGTAGTATAAATCTTACTACTCTTACCTGTATTATTTATTTTCTTGTGTTTCATTACAGCTTCCAAGCCGAGACTGTGAGCAAAACCACCAGTAGGAAATGCTGCAAAGATACAATAAAACATACACCTGCTTCAACTAATTGTCTGAAATGTATAACCTACTGGGTTGGCAACCATACTTTGACCTACTTTGGAAATAGTTTCTTCTGGTTATAATCTCTCCTCAGTGAGTAAGAGGAGGTCCATTTATGCAGGGCCTTAGCCAGAAAATGTCAAGTGGTCCGATTTTTTATCATCAATCTTTATCTCAATCTTTTGCCTGTACAATTACAACATGGGAGATCTACGCCTCTTACACTTAAAGGTACAACAATTAATGCAGAGGGGGCATTCAATGATCATGGACCAGTGTCAAAATATATATAAGTTTGGATATTTCATCAAGACTTACACCCATTGTTATCATCTATAAAGAAACCCCCTAGATAAGCATTATTTCAGCTGATATTCCTCTTGAAACATGGTGGATCTTAAAAATATAAAAGTGGATTTCCCCTTTTTGAAGCTTTGAACTGAATTTACACTTCTTAATGCTGAAATTGATAGTTTTTCCATAAATTTTAAGAAAATGGGTATGTCAAAAAAGATGTTAAGCCAAATGTTGCCTTGATAGATCAGAAAAAGTTCAAATTTTCCTATTACTTCAATAGATTCCTGGGTATTTTAGCATTCTTTTCGTGTAGTTGAATCCACAATTATGTTCAAACAAATGTCATTTATAGGGATATATTTTTCCATATATTATTGCAGAATGATCTTTTGATTTTTTGGCTTTTACTACGCAATAAAACAATGAAATGGGCTTTCAGTTTGGAACAAGGAGGATTGGCTCCCAGAGTGCACCACCGATATTCTGTCCCATATATGGGTATGTCGTAATACAAAATTCGAATTCAAACAGCCGCCATTTTGTTCACTTCAACATTTAAATCGTGAATTTTGGTCTTATTTCCAAACGAAAAATTCCAAAACTCACAAGAAACGATCGAGATATTGGTTCGAATCTTTTGAACTGTTTATTTTGAATTTATAGTCGGTTTTAATTTCAGAAAATAACGACATTTCGACGTTTTCATTGTTGGAAAATATCGAGTTTCGATCCTGGGAGCCAATCCTCCTTGAGTTTGGAACAAAATAAATCACAGGTGGATTTTCTATCACCATATCCAAACCATGGTATTTCGAAAGGGGACATTATTTTTTCCATTCAATCGAAGTTGGGCCATGCAGCCGAAGGTAAGCCATGCAGCTGAAGGTAAGCCATACAACCGAATTTTGCCAATTCAATCTGACGGAGAATGCCGAGCCTCTATTTTTGACCAATTAGAGACGTCCTCTTCACATTCGTGGTACCCTCGGCCAACATCGTTTGCAAAGAAAATCTTCGGCAATCTTCAGCTTTTCTTGAGGTATCTTCGGTTGCAAGCCAAAAGTCGACACCCATTTCGAAAGCCCTATAGTCTCAAATATTGTCTAGATACATATCCATTAAAATTGGTATATTTTACATTTTGTATACTGTCATCCACTGATGTATGACCTCTTGAAAATTCTCTTATTTTTAACATGGAAAATCCTCACTTCAGATTTCTTTCAACCTCGCCCTCTTTTAGAGGTTCCCTATTACGCCTATGTACACTCATCGTTCAGCTCATATAATAATCAAAATAAATCTGAAATCTCATTCCTTCGAATTATGAAAAAACCTACCACTGTCTGATAGCTGTAACGCTGTTAAAAATTTGGACATGTTTTGTTTTTCTTTTCGAATTTCCAGGTTCAAGGTCATTCACATTTGTTTCCGGTTCCGGCCTTCTGTAAATAATGAAACGGGTAAGAGACTACAGTCAATTACAGCTTTATTTGGGCAAGGTCCAATCAGTTTTGTTATTACTTTTTCTAAGTGAAACAACGTGAAAGATTTCCTGTTGAAACTTTGTCAATTATGCCATATCTGACATCTGAATATCAGTAGCGTAGCCAGCAATTGGTGACCAGGGGTTCGATTTTTTGTGCATCCACAAATCTCCCCCTTCATCGGTGTACCTCACATAAAAGTATTTTTTGTACATACAATTTACACCCCTCCAAAAGTTTGGCAACAATTTGATTTTCTATATTGAAATAGATTTTGGTGAATCTTTTACTGAAAGATATTGAAATCTGGTTGCAAAATCATACATTTTATATAACAATTGTTTAATTGTTCAATGAAATCCAAATCAAGGGTTAGCATACATTGAGACAACTTTTGTAAAGGGCAAATTACAACATATCTCTAAGGAACATATTTTTAACGAGCTACCATTGAAAAATCGTCATTCCCAATTCATCATTCAAAGATATGTCAAATTCTGGCATGCTATTCCCACACTTTTAGATGATTTTTGAAAAGAATCCAAATCAAAAGAATTTTATCTGCCATTTCATTTTGTAATAGAGGAGTTCATAGTGACCTCATGAACTTACAGTTAGTTTCTGAATACTAGTATATTCAAAAGCAAATATTTTTGAAGAATGTAATACTTATTTAATCATGGCGCACAATAAAAGTCGTAATGGCTGCACGAATACTCTCAATTGGTACTGACGATAGAAGTGACAGATGACAAATAGTATTGTATTAATGGAATGAAACATAGGCTGAAATTAAAAAAACAAACAAATTGAAATAACAAAATATCCACTGTGCTCTGTAGGCTCTAACATTAAACATCTCTCTTAAATTTCAATGCCTTGCAACAAATAAAGAACAACTAATGCTGAAAAACTTATTTGTTGTGCTTTCTTTGAATTGAAAATAAAAACTTTGAAAACATTCCATTTTCTATCACAGTTCCGCTGATTTTATCATTAATGACGAGAATCATGAAATGATCCCTATCTCAGCTTATGTGTGCCCCAGCACTTTAATATTTTCCAAAGTATTATGACATTCTATTCTTCATGTTACACCTAAGAATGATTCATTATGACCATAGGGATATTTGCCAATACTCAAACCTCTTCCTTTACTATTTTTTCCTACTGGTCATATAAATTGAATATATGTTTCTGGTTATTGCAATGAATTTTTCCACAAATATTTTTTTGGGAGAAATCCCGACCGGGGGTTCGTCCGAACCAATCGAACCCCCGGTCCCTACGGCTATGAATATGATCATGATGGGCAGCTTCAGTTACAAGCAAAAAAGAGGTGTGATTGCACTTGCACTGCAGTCAGTATGCAAGACAAATCATTAGTGTCTCCTTTTCTTCTCCTCTTCTGGAAAATGAGAAAGTACAGATCACGACACGGAGAAATATTTTAGGTCTTCAGAGTCTCAGATTTTTTTTGAACTGATGGGCTTCCAAGATATAAGATCTATTAAAAAAGGTGGCGCGTCGCCAATGTGAGAATGCCAATGTTTCTGCTATAACTCCAGCAATACTTGTATAATAAGGGTCAATCCGACCTGTTATAAATACTTGTAATTGATGTTATTATCACAAAGCTACTGTCATTGTTGGTTTTGTAAAATACGTTACCATATGTTATATAAAAGATAATAGAAAATCATAAATTTTGAAGGGTTGGGGAGTGAACAGAGGGGGGAGTAATGTATGTATAAGGTATGTGATAAGAGATGTAACTTGATTTTATTTTGAATAACTCCATATGTCCCTATGGGAGTTTAGGGTAGATCATTACTATGGTATTGTCTTTCTGGTTTTTGCCTCAGAAATTTCAAAATGGCTGCCAACAGGTTGCGTTAATTTTGAGATCTTCTGAAGTATAGCTTTATTATACTCAAAAAGGCAATTTAGGTGAGATTGCAAATATTGTATCATTTTTTTAATTTTGGCCACATAAAATTTAAAATGGCCGCTGCCATATGTAGAATTTCACAATAATTTTCTGATCTCTTCAAAGTATGGCTATATTATTCTCAAATTGAAGGAAATTTAGGGCAGATCACTATTTCGGTATTGTTTTCCTGATTTGTGCCTCAGAAAATTCAAATTGTCTTTATTATTTGTGCCTTTAAATAGTCACCCAAATGCTTTTGAAATTGGGAGAAATTCTGATATATCTCTAATGTTTCCAATGATTATGTTTATATTTTTTGTGACAAATACAGTTTATATGTTATAGTGTTTGTTGGGATTTGCTACTCCGTGGAGTTGCCATTTTCTAGTTGTTTATGATCATGACTGGACATGGGAAATCCTCACTTCAGCAAATCCAGGTGTCATTTATTTATGGTGTGCACTGCAGCCACAGAAACCAAGCCTTCTGTGATGTTTTTCCTCATGGACTCAATATGAGATATTTTTGACCAAAATAAATAAGATGGTTTGTTTGGGTGGTAATTCTCTATTCGGTTTATTTTATTTATTTATTTGTCATAAAAATACATACAAAACATGCAACATGTCACAATCTAGGACACCACAATTAAAATTTGGAAATTACCTTGATTTAATAGGCTACAAGATGAAATGTTTCAGCGACCAGCAGATGCTAAATGTTTATTAAAATAGCTAAACACTATTATAATCCTGCTTCTAGCATCTTAGCTTAATATTCAGAGATTCAGGCATGCAGGTATCAGTGATTCTGATCCAGGTGATTCTTTAGGTCACCAGTGGTCAATAGATTTTTTGGATCAGTATCAAGCTTAAGAGCGCTATTAATATCATTTCAACAAAATGGAATGATGTGTATGGGAAATGGGATGTAAGGAGTTTTATATTATAATTCATTTTTCCAAGGGGTGCATCATGGGCATTCAGTAGAAAACCCATGGGTGCATGTACATCTAAAAAACTCTTACTAGAGCACGTGTAGTTCTTCTTTCCTCCGAGTCTCCTTTTCTTTAACTAGAAATATGCTCTGGTATTCTAGAAAGAAGCTAATGGAAGGCCATGATTTCGCATGATACAAAAGGGGGTGTTGTCATATTTTTTCATGAAATTGGATTCAAGGGGTGGAAAATCATCATGTGACCAACCGAAGTGGTGATTGACATATTGTTATAGTCTCCAAGTTTTTATGGACAGCAGTTGGTGTTCAGTGCTAGTGCTCGCCGGATGGAGTCTGTAAATATGGCGTCTGTAACATATGGTGTCTGTAACAAATGGCAGGCAGTGGCATTTTGCGTGTAAATGCCTTGTTTATTTCTGAGATGTTGCTTGCTCTTTTTGAAAGAAATTGATACTTTAATAACATGCAAAGAATGCCTTGATGTACATTGCACTAATTACAGATGGACTATTAAATAAATGATATTAGTATATTCAATGATGTCAGTATTTGAACAGTTGCTGAATTCATAAAATCCAAAAATAAACCTTTTTATCATAATGTTGTATATGATCTGAAATTCAATAACCCAGATGCGAGTAGAAATAATCTTGATTTACGTCATTAAAACTATTAAATTAATTCAGTCAAAGTAATATCATATTTGAAATCTACATGTAAAATTACATCTAGAAATGTTGTTTTAAAAAGTGTTTATCAACTTTGAAAAATTAATTTTCTTTGAAAATGTGACTTCTAGCTCGGGGAGATTCTTCATAGACCCCATGCTATAAAATCACAAAAAATGAAATATCTTTTCTCTTAGTGGACAGATAATATTTTGCTTTGCTGGACATATTTTAATTAGTATAAGTATCAGACACAAAGGGTTATATGAAAATTGAGCCACTTAAATTGATAATATTCAAGTTTAAGGGAACTTTCTTATATACCTGCCATGTTAATTGACCCGAATCAGCCACCTGGTGGTGAAACTGGTAACTACCTACTCGCATTTGGGTAATTCAATCATGCTGCTGTAAACTTATTGAAACCTGAGATTCTTGTCAAGTGATTTTGGGCCAAAGTTGTCAAATGTTAACCCCCCTTGGCAAAAGCTGGCTACTGGCCTGGTTGTACAAATAAGTTGTCTCTCAGACCTACCAGCTGTGATTGGTTAATGGTATGCACTGTCATCTTCCTACTCATAGCTCCCAATAGAATTACTTAATTGTCACTTTTATAAGGTTGGGAGGACAGAATCACAGTCATATATCTAGTCACGTAGTGTTTAACACTGATACTCAAATTATACAATATTCCTGATAGCCAGTTCACTTGAACTTTATAATGAAGACAATACTGAAGCTGAAATTTCTTTCACTGACTTTCTTTCACTGTTAAATGATTTAAGATCATGATTTTAAGTTTCTATTGTCATTTGAATTTATAGTACATGTTTTCTTAAAATTTGCCTTAAAGACATGTTAATGAGACTTCTCCGTGGCATTTTTCTTTATTCCTTTTTGTTTTGAAATTTTTTACACCATAACATTAACTAACTACTCAATATGCAACTTTTCACCACGTAGAATTTTAAAATATTAAGTTTGAAAATTCCATTTTTATAATGGAGCTCAATGGGAAAAATAACATAATTTGGATTATTTTCAAACGTAGCGGCGCGATTTTCTTGAAATTGACAGATATAATAAATATTGGTAAGACGAAATGTTTGAAGAAAAATGAAGAAAATTCACTGTCCTGGTTATGCAAAATATAGAAAAACGTGAAATAATCATAAAAACCTTTAAAATAGATTGAAGGGGGTGATATTCATTTTAATGTGCCTTTCACTACTACAGGGTAACCATAGTTTTGGTAATGGTTTACTGATTTTAAAAGCATATCTTCCAGCATGTGTATCAAGCGGAAGTAATACAATAAGTGAGTTATCATTAATTGGAATGGTATTATCATATTCCTTAGCAATGATGACAAAAAGGTAAAATCAATCATATCACCAGGGGCGGATCTAGGAACCAACAAGGGGGGGGCCCAAATTTCAGGTCTGAGAAAAAAACGTGCGCGCGTGCGCGAAAAAAAATGTTGGGCCCCTAAAATCCCAAAGTGGGCCCAAATTTTGAAAATTTGAGGCCCATTTTCTTCAAAATTTGACCTGAAATTAAAAAATAAGGCCTTAAAAGGCCCAGTAATGACCAAAAAGGCCCACTTTTTGGGGCCTGAAGGCCTTGTTTGGCCCAGCCCCCCCCCCCCTAATCCGCCAGTGTATCACATACTAGTTCTTACCATCAAATCGATCTGTTATAATGCATATTAAACAATATAGCAGTAGATCTTCAAATTCAAGAATTGAGCTAAATTGTAAGACAATAGATAAATTGCTAATCTCTCTGTATAATCCCTTTCTCTGAATCATACTAAATTATAATATTTCGGTATGCTTATTTTAGCTGCTGTAGTTTAGGTCACTTGATGAGATATTCAGTAACATGCTGTCACTAGAGACAAAACTTGACACTAAATAATCACTCGAAATAAAGATATGAATTCTTCATATTTTCTTGAAAATTAGCATTTAAAGCTTTTCAATGCAATCATGAATTTAGTGATCTGACCATTAAAAAACTTTTCAGGGGGAATATTTTGTCCACCTGTAGCCCTTAGGTGTATCATCTTTTTCTAGCCATATTTTCCTAGGCCTGCTGGAATACCTATTTCAGTGTGCAAGTTTAGCATTGTTTTCCCATTGATCATTTGAGTTCTCATGTCAATAAATGGATATAAAAATGTAGTTTATTTTATTGTAAAAATCAAAAATAAAACAAGGTTTGGTCAGGAAGGGAACAGGTGAAATCATTGGGATATATGAATTAATTAATTATAAGTTAGAAACATATTCATGTTTCTACATCATGATAAACCATGCCATCTCAAATCTTCTCAGCCCTGAGAGTTTCAGGTGAAACAGAAAGATGCTATGAGTATCAGAATGATGTTTCTACAATTTAGAGAAACCCTGTGTATTATTCTACTGTGCATGGTTATACCCATGCAAAATATTACAAAATGTTATTTACTTATTATCATAATTCAATGTGACAATATCAGTCTTATCTTCAAATTTGTATATAATAGTTTATTACGTTGATAGTATTAGATGTTGATTTTGCAAAGCTAATTCTACAATATGTACAGAAACATATATGTAAGGGTGCAAGTACAGGGCTGTCAACTTGGGACCACCTAATATGAGTGACTTCAAAATGTTGGACACCTAAGTCCAAATCTGAACACTTTTGTCCAAATTTTGAACACCTTTGGCCAACTTTTAAACACCTTTGGTCAAAGTTTGAGCACCTTTGCCAAACTTTGAACACCTCAAATTTTTCGCGCTCGCTACGCTCGCGTTCTCGTCGACGGGGGGGGGGGGGGGGGGGGGGGGGGGGGGGGGGTAGGTACGAAAAATTTCCAATGAACATGCGTGACACATACGGGATTCGCGTGACAAATCCGAACAAATTGCGTTCGTTTTTTTCCGGCGTTCGTATTTTTACCGTATCGTAAACATATTTCGAAAAAATTTCTACAGAAATATTTTTGCTTGACAATTACCAGGTAAAATGCGTATTTTGCGTGACATTTTCTGTCACGCAAAAAAAACTGGCGTGACTTCAAATTCTTCAGCAAATGCGTGACAAATACGCAAATTGCGGGACAGTTGACAGGCCTGCAAGTATGTAGATGTAGTTTTCTATGCAATGATTATATACAGGCTGCTTATTCATTGTTACTGCGAATTCCAAAAGCTTCCAAATTGTGTGGAATAGAGCATGCAATGTTTTTCAGTTTCAAGCAGGTTTTAGTACATTCAGACCAATTGCATTTTCAGATTTATTCATTTCATGATTATGTAATACTGACCTACTTATCTGCTTAACATGTGTTTAATCATTGAAGGGATTAACCTTGAATGACCTTAATCTATTATACAATATAGGTATAGCCACTTGGCCTTGTGACATAAATTTTCATTCGTTGAGAGAGACAATCCCCCATGCCATGAATCAATCACATCACAGTAAAACTTATCTAATCTGAAAACTATTGCGACCAGCCGAAAGTGTTTGTATTGGCAGGGTTTGCAAATTAAATATAGGAAAAGGGAATACATTGAGAGTTGTTCAGATTAGGAAGGTGTTTGAATATTACTATAAATATTTAAATTGATCAAATAGTAAACATTTATTCTCAGCTAGAGCTGCCTGCACGTTGTTTCATACCTGAGCCGGACTAACATAATTTGAACTATTATTTTTATCAAGGCAAATGGCAGACAATGCTAATGGCTTGCCTGATATGAGAGAGGCAACAAATGGGCTGGTGATTTTAGAACCCCGGAGAAAGCCTACATGCTCATTGGAAAAATTAGAATTTGTGAAGACATCTGCAACAACAATCAAGTTCACATATCCAGTAAGTCTATTTTTCATACTTTCACTTAAATTGATGTTTTGGGGACTTGCTTGTTACATAAATAACAAAAGAAAGCATATGTTGCAGTTTATATTTTATTTGCACCCCAAAAGAGCAACAACACGTTATACACAATTATGCAAGTTGGGCTTAAAAGATTTTAATCTGTCTCTATATTACAGTCAGGCCCGTAGCCAGGATTTGCCAAGGGGGGGTTCACTTTTTGGAAAATTCCAGGGGGGGTTCACTTTTGACAATTTGGGTCCAAAAAGGGCCAAAATCACCTAAAAAGTGATCAGAATGGTGAAAAACTGCATGATTTTGAAAGAATTTTTGGCCAAGGGGGGGGTTCGCCCGAACCATGCGAACCCCTCCTGGCTACGGGCCTGACAGTGTTATGATATTTTGGTTATGCTGATTATTACCAATACGAGATGTCATGTTTTATAATAGTCACATAATTTGACTATCATATGTCATGTTGTTAGTATTTGTTACACTACAAAATGTCATGTTTCACTTATATAAAATGGCATGTTGTTTCACATAATTAAATGTAATATGTCATGCTGTTTCAGTAATGTCATGTTGTTTCACTAATATAATATGTCATGCTATTTCACTCATATAATATGTCATGTTGTTTCACTAATATAATATGTCATGCTGTTTCACTCATATGTCATGTTGTTTCACTAATATAAAATGTCATGTTGTTTCACTAATATAATATGTCATTTTGTTTCACGAATATAATATGGCATTTTGTCATGTTGTTTCACTAATATAATATGTTGTGTTGTTTCGCTAATATAATATGTCATGTTGTTTCACTAATATAATATGTCATTTTGTCATGTTGTTTCACTAATATAATATGTCATTTTGTTTCACTAATATAATATGTCATTTTGTCATGTTGTTTCACTAATATAATATGTCATTTTGCCATGTTGTTTCACTAATATAATATGTCATGTTGTTTCACTAATATAATATGTTGTGTTGTTTCGCTAATATAATATGTCATGTTGTTTCACTAATATGATATGTCATTTTGCCATGTTGTTTCACTAATACAATATGTCATGTTGTTTCACTAATACAATATGTCATGTTGTTTCACTTACACAATATGTCATTTTGTCATGTTGTTTCACTAATACAATATGTCATGTTGTTTCACTAATATAATATGTCATTTTGCCATGTTGTTTCACTAATACAATATGTCATGTTGTTTCACTAATACAATATGTCATGTTGTTTCACTTATACAATATGTCATTTTGTCATGTTGTTTCACTAATATAATATGTCATGTTGTATCACAAATATAATATGTCATTTTGTCATGTTGCTTCACTAATACAATATGTCATGTTGTTTCATTAATATAATATGGTATTTTCTTTCACTAATATAATGTCACTGTTGTTTAATTTCAGTTGAAAGTGTTGATACCAGACCATGCTGGGTGCACCAACTGTGCCTGGATCTACCCGATAACCTATGGGGGAGGTCTAGTAAGTGGAGATGAGATCAGCCTAGAGGTACAAGTCAAGCCATTCTGCGCTGCTCTTATTACAACTCAAGCCTCTACCAAGGTACAGTACTTGAGTGACTAAAGATGGAGATGGAACATTTCAACAGTTCGCGCTTAGTGATAATTATTATGCTTTTACTACGGGTCAACTTCTTTAGCTTAATATGTGTCACATCTGCCATTTTACTATCATGTACAGAAACTAAATACTTCCCCATGCTTTTATGTCGAGAAATTAAATACAATGTTTAACTCATGGTCTTTTGACAATTTACTGAATAAGGTGGCCCTGGCTCCCGGGAGGTGGCTGTCCTGGGGCCGGTGGCCATTTTGTAAAATTATGACCATTTTTATTTGTGCAATATTACACTTTATGCAAAAATGGAGTGATTAGAATTTGTTGTTGTTTTATATTTTTACATCATTATGAGATCTGATGGCTGACAGTTTTGTCTGACTCAACAATATGTTTTAATGTGATTTGCTGTGCCCTTAGTATATTGGATTGTCAATTGATTATTTGATGTATCATGTTATTCAATGGTTCTTAGGTATACCACAGTGAAGACAACAAGCCGTGTGTACAGAGATTCAAATACTCAGTTGCTGACAAGTCTTTATTGTGTGTCCTCCCAGACCCCATAGTGTGCTACAAGGAGGCCATATATAAGCAGAGTCAGAGGATAGAGTTGTCTCCCCTGGGCAACCTGGTGCTATTGGATTGGCTCACAGCTGGGAGGACTGCTAGAGGGGAAATCTGGCAGTTTACAAAGTTTGTTTCAAGTTTATCTTACACACTCAATTTCAAATTTTCTTTTTTCCATTGTTGATTACTATATTTCTTTTTTTCAAAATATTTCTTTTTCTTCTAATTTTAATTTTTTTCCCCAATTATCATGATTCATACTTTATACATTTACATACACATTTATACTTACTCCTATATAAAAATAAGGACTTAAAAATTTTAAAGCTTCCAAATGTAAGTGAAAAAATGATTTTTGTATTTGGAGGTACGACAGTTGTAATGAGATTGTAATTGATGGAAGACTACGGTTCAAAGACTCTGTTTCTCTAGAAGAAACTGACAATTTATCTATTGCAGAGGCTGTTGGAGGTTTTCAGGTAGGAATGCATAAGATGGCAATACACATAATGATCATTACTAGTGTTGTAACTCACAGAGATTTTTGGAATTGAGTAATTTGTGTGATTTTGAGTCTGAGATCAATTCACGATTTTTTTTCAAAAAAATAAACAAGAAAAAGCTTACCATTGCATGTCCTACATTTGCTTTTAATCCATTTTTCAATGCTGTTCACCCCACAATGCCCTAGGTACCTTAGGTATATCACGAGTTGTCCATTAATGAACCAATTCAAAGTAGATACTTATGATTTTTTGCATCTGTCAGCATCGATAATTTTGATTTCATTTCCGGTTCTATGGACTGACTATGGACTGAATGAATAATGAAATTAAAAAAACAAACTCTAAAATATATCGTTTAAATTAGATTTATTACTCATATTCATTTAAATAAAAATGAATAATACATGGCACAATCATTTGTACATAGTTTGACATTCAGTTTGTGAGAAAAAAACAATGCATTTGATGTCATTTGATTCGCTGTAGAATTGCAAATACGAATACAAATTCGCAAATCTCAAACTTGTGGAATAATTTGCAAAATCTGAACTCCTAATTAAGATAAATTCTATTGCACCTTGGCGAGATGATTCGGAGATTTAAAATGAGTACTTATCTACACCACTGATCATTACACACTTTCAGATATACCTAGGGACACATCTAACTAGAGATGAGTCAACTTGATTTCTATAAAGTCAGACTGACAATTCTGCCTTATTTGATGCTTTGATATTTATAGATTAATTAAACAATAATTTTGAAAAGGCGGACGTAACCCTTTTCAATTCAATAAGTTGGTTTGACACTAGTTTTAAGTACTTAGCTGATAAGAGATAACGGGAAGGTGTGTGACTTAATTCTCAATGTTCATTTGTTCTTATAAATAGACATATCTCTAATAGGCCTTCAACACAAATTGAAAAACATTAATTGATTTTGATATGGGACTGAAGACACTAAACTTTAGATGTGTCTGCAGGTTTCGAACTAGAAGAAATAACAAGAACCTTGCAGTGTCAATTTAGGTCCATTCAGAATGATAAGCAATGTGATATCAAGGTTGGGTTTTGAATACACACAGACAGTGTGGGATCTCCACAAACTTAACTATCACTTGGAATAGAGCCTGAGACAAGAGAGACTCTCATAAGGCAGAATGGGACACAGACGAAACAAATAAAGTGACAAGTATTATTTATTGGCACAATCACTCAGGTCATCTGGTCAATGTGTCTTTTAGTACAAGGCCACCTTAATTTGGTGCTCCTGAGGTCAACAATCAAGCAGATCAAATACACTACTCACGATTCAATCCAGATATAATCCCAACGTATTTTTGTACAAATGTAAAATTTGATTAGATTTGTTTTCTATTTCCCTGACATTAAGTTAAATCTGGTTCCACAAATTGCTTTTGATAACTAGAACGTTCTAGGATAGGTCCGAAGCTTGATTAAGCAAGATGAATTGAACCTACCTGACACAATTACGATTTACAAGCCATTAAACAGGATATTTAAGTCAAGTCAACTTGACTTTAGGTCAATGTGCAGTTTAAATAATTTAGCATGCCCTCATAAATATCCATTCTCTCTCTTTATTTGTTAAAAGATATTTATTTATAACAAAGTTCATATGTTACACAAATCTTTTAAAATGTAAGGTCTACTTTCTGGAAAAAGATAATGCAGTAACTCTTCTTAGCACACATTTCCATATTCATTGTATTGTATATTGTAACTTTTCTTTATTTTGACATTAAGTGGCTTTGGGAATTGATTTTGAGCATTGACATTGATAGTGAGAATGAATTTTTGTTATTTATTATGTCACAAACCAGAAGTGGTGACATATTGTTATAGTCCCCAACATTTTTGTGGTTGGTCTTTGGTGGTTCGCATTCAGTGTGTGTAACAAATGGCAGGTGGTTACATTATGTATGTTAATGCCTTCTTGAGCATTTAGTTTGACGATTCACATAAGGCATGTTTCGGTACTCAACTCTATGTTCAATTTGGACTAATCTTTCGCTAATTATATGCCTTGTAAAACATTATATATAAATTGCTTGTTCGATTCATAAAAAGTTAGTACATGTAATTGAATCGTAATACTGTATGGATTTCATTTTTTAGAAATCAAGAACCATACTAAAACAACAGCTGATAATGAAACAATGACTGTAACATTTTCCAGGCCATAGCCCTATGTGTGCTACTAGGACCTCAGCTGGAGACATTCACAGAGAACCTTCTGCGCACTATTGGAAGGTCAAAGTCATTTGGGGAAGCATACATCTCGAACACAATAGTCAGTATCTCCCCACTAAGTTATGACACGAGGGAGGATGTGGTGAAAGGCTGTATTATACGCATAGGGGCCAACACTACCACAGAGGTAAGTTCAGTTCCCAATAAGTTATCTTGATGATCTTTTGGCTCATTTGTTCATCCATACATCTATTCTATCTGCAAATTTTACACAAATGAAAAACAAGCATTCGTTTGAACTGATTCTTATATCCTTCTTATAGGGGTCCATGCTGTTAAATCATACCATTGGTCCCAGCCCCAATGTTTGCCTCATTTGAGATACATTTTTCATCTTCAAAAATTATAGTATAATTCTAATACTTATCAAATCAAATCATAAATTGCATAAGTTTTTTGGCACTAACTGCATATCTTGATGACTTGAAGTCATGATAATTAAAAAATATAAAATCAAATCTTTTCTGTAAGATTCATCTAATGCTTTTCCACTTGTATAATCATAAATGGATTCAACGGCATTAATGTTGTATGAGAAATTTTACTTAGCAAACTCTTAAACACTCAAACCAGATTTATAAGCTAAGTTTTTGTTAATATAAACAGTGTTGATACATTCACATTTTAGATGCAATACAATGTATATTTCAGAAATATTAGTTTTATGTGCACTTTGCAGTAAAAGGACGATTCTCGGTTTGGAGAACGAAGTTCATCAATCTAAATGAGCATTATCCTTGCTTCGGACAAATTTGATTTTTTTACATAATATAGATTTGAATGTCTTCTTTTGAATAGTTATAATTTAATTTGGGTAATATTTCTGGATTTTTCGCAAAAAAAGATTAGCGCAGTACACTGATGAACTTCTTTCCCCCAAATCGAGACTTGTATTTTATTGAATCAGTCTAATTGAGTGTTATCCCTACTTCAGACCAATTTGTTATTTTTACATCTTGTAGATTTAAATGACTTGTATTTTATTGAATCAGTCTAATTGAGTGTTATCCCTACTTCAGACCAATTTGTTATTTTTACATCTTGTAATCATAGTTTAATTTGGGTAATATTTCTATATTTTTCATGAAAAAAATTATTAGCCCCGGAGACTGTTCTCCAAACCGAGAATCGTCCTTTGGGGTTGTAATTTAGGGAGTTTCATGCAGCCATGTTTATCTTTTGAAAATAATATGTCAGAGAACATCAAAATATAGGATGCCACACATTTTATTGGCCAATCCACAAGCTATCCAAGATATCCAAGCTTTTTGCATCTAAAATATGATTTTTTGTATTATTGAACTGTGGTCCTTTAATTGTTTATTTTTTTAGGTTTGATGACACACAGAAAAAATTAGATGCATTTTCTCTGATAGAAAACATAATGTATAAGATTTGATGTTATTATATTTCAGGCTTTTGCTGAAATAGAAGAAGTACTATCGCCACTGTATTCCATTTTGGGTGGAGATCCCTTTGAGAATAAATACTGAGAGACACTAGAGGACTTATGATGGCAACAAACACTTTGAATAACTGGACAGTTGAAGCAGTGTTGGAAGAATCATTCAGAAATGCGGTAATACTGCAAGAAGCATACATCTGTGAGGTGTTGGATAAGAAATGTACATCTACTTTAGTGAAAGAAGTACCGAAAGTGTTCCCTATGTTACAACACCGACATTTAAGACGAGTGCGAACTAAAGATGGTGTTATGCACATTTTGATTTGTCTCGCTTCTCAGGTGAAAGATATTAACAGTGTATTTGAGTTATTAAAATTGAGTAGTATCAACATAGAGTGTTTGGGTCCACCAGAGTTACATAAAGTTTCTGACTCGCCACCCCTCACAAGGGCACAATTCATTGAGGGATCCCAACACTGGCCTAGTTCATTCCATGAGGATAAACAATTGGAAAGAGTATTAAAAGGAGAGTTATTCCCTATAGAAGATTTGAAGCGTATAGAGCAGCATATGGTTGAAGCTATCAAAATGGCTGAAATCGCAAGAAGTAATGGTTATTATGCAATGGGTGTTGTTGTCGTGGATCCAAGTGATGATGAGATTATGGTAAAATGTCATAGCCTTTGTCCAGTTGATGCATCAAACATTAACTCAGTAGAGTTGCACCCACTGCAGCACACACCTATGATAGCCATAGATCTTGTTGCCAGGGGTCAGGGTGGAGGTATTTGGAAATATGACACAAATAAATTCTATTGTAAATCAAACCCTACCAAAGCTCATGATAAGGAGGGTCCTTACCTATGTACAGGGTATGATGTGTATTTAACAAAGGAGCCATGTATTATGTGTAGTATGGGTCTCCTTCACTCACGTATAGGGAGAGTTTTCTATGGTGAGGCCTCCAAAGAGGGGGCCCTTGGGAGTCGATACAAGCTCCATGTACAACAAGGCCTTAATCATCATTTTAAGGTATTCAGAGGTATTTTGTCAAATAAATGTAAGGCACTTGAGATGTCTTGATATTAGTATGTATACAGCGTGTTTCATATGTATGCACCCCCCCTCATAAACTCATACATGTAGCATTGCCACCCTATCATGTTGTATATCATTTTGTTCCTTATGGAATATATAACATGATAGGGTAGCTATGCTATATGTATGAGTTTATAGGGTGGGGGTTCATACATATGGAACACCCTGTAGATATAGCAATGCACACATAGTCTCTATTATTCATGTGAACTGCAATTAAAAGGTGGCTGGGTATACAGCAATAATAGAGGAAACAAGATTATACTTAGATGATAAGCAAATATAAGTTGTGAATAATTTTAGTATTTTTGGAAGTACAATGCCTTATATGGGTTAGAAGAGTCACAGGCTGGAGTTCAATACACAAATGTATAAATGATGAATTGACAGGTTATTTTCTGATTTAAATCTGCCAAATTAAAACTTTTCCAGAAAGGAAATAGTGCCAATAAACCAGTTATTAGATATTACAGATACTGTTTTGTTTATGTTTTCTAAAATAGAGAACATCACATTGAAAAGGTTTTTGTACATGTATTGTATCAATACAACTCCAAAATTAATGATGTACAGCGTGTCAAATAAATATATGTTCTCTCCCTTTATTAACCTTAACATCCACATAATGATGCATACTTTTTTTGTCTGCATGATATTTGAATTGTTCTTTAGCACATTAAAACTAGGCTTCATGGAGCAACTCTACAAGAAGTTTCAGATGACTAGCTCAACTAGATACATGTTTATGCACAATAAAAGTTCATACTCTTGAAATTAAGGGGGAACATATTTATTTGACATGTATAATTCAAAATTGAACATAAATAAATATAAATAAAACACACTTATTTTTACATCTCTACATAAATAATTGTTTATTTACACATTTTTACAGTAAACTAGAGTAAAAGAATGTCTATGATTTTCCGACTTTTCTCTTGTTCCACTCTCCTTGATTTACTTTTTTCCTCTGTTGTTTCAGTCTTCTCTCTTGGGCTGAAAGTAATATAAATTCATGTATAAAAGAAATTCAAGGGAGGATATGAGAAAAACAATTTAAGGGTACCGAGAACCTAACTCCTGACAGACCACAAGTCCCTTACAGCATAAATAGACCAGTACCTGGATCTCACATTATCATTGTGTATTTAGTTGAAGTATTCCTTCTAATCATCCCAATCTAGATTTATGCAAATCAGTGATCTTCCCGTCATTACATAATCTGGCCACTGATATGAACCCTATTAAAATCTGAGAAATACCTGCCACCTTGCTAAAAATTTATTAGCACCCTGTCAAAAAAGATTTATTTGAACCTTAATAGATAAAATGAAGATTTAGCATCCTAATTTGAGAAAAAACATGGAGAGATCACTGCAAAATAAACTTGTAAGATGTTCCTACCTTTGGGTAATGAAGTTTAATAATAATATTTAATTTTTAATTATATAAAGTCAAAGAACCTTCTCTAGAAGTTATAGGAATTCTTACACTGATGTTGATCTAAAAACCCGATGACAAAATTTCATGAAAAATTCAAAGATGGCATTTCCTCATTCATTCATCTCAAACCAAAATGCTTATGTAGCAAATAAACCCGCTGAGGTTTTATTATCTACTTAAATGAATCCCTGAGAATTTGAAATCAATCCATTACAGTGGCCACCTCAAAAGTAATTTATCTTGTTTACATCCAATTGAATCTGCTCACCTGTTTCTCTTGGTATAGAGCCTCCAAAGAGTCTTTCCTGCTTGAATGCAATGGCTTTTTCTATTGCACTCTGTGGACGCTTGTAATCCTTCAATGCTACAGCTTGTATCCTAGAATACAAATGTTCTGTTCACTACTACATATACATGTAAGTGGTTTTTTTAATGTTTATAACTGTTATTATTTAACTGGGGTCTTTCATTTAGTCAGTGTGTTTCATATTTGTAGAACAAAAGTAATGCTATAGATGATGCTGTGTTGGGTAGTGTATGTTCTGAACACTGAGCCAGCGTGAATTTAGATTTAAACACACCAATTTTCAATTACATGTTCAGATTTCAATTTTCCATATTCTTAACTAACTAGTAATAGGCTATTATCATATTGAATGAACATCAGTGCCAAGTGAAGGGTATATAATTCGAATTCAAGAGCAATATACTTTAACCTATATCTTTAACCTATTGTTTAGTCCACGACAAAAGCCACAAGATCATGATGTGACTATAACATTTAGTAGACAAAACCAAACCATGCGGGGTTTACGAAGTGAATTTATTTCTATAACCTGATTGGCTCATCGGGCCATGACACGACACAAATAGTATATCAAAGTTAAGGTAGTTGTACACAATGACATTACAGTGACCAATACTAACCCTGCCTGCCAAGATAACAGGTACTAACTAGACCTCATAACACCCCCTTTTCAGTGATATCGTAGCTGGGAGATTATATCTGGTATTAGTGAACTACCAGTATGCAGAATGTTCAGCTCAATGCAAAACCATAAGTCCATACAGTATGAAGACTGAAGAGGATGATTAGTACCAATGAAGACAGCTGTTTATTTTTATACTATATATTGTAATATTACTTCAACCCTCTCAGGCTCTAATGCTTCTGTAACTTTTTATATATAACATACCCTCCTTTCTGGAATCCAATGAAATCATCATTCAGAATGTCGTCCTTATTATCATCCATGTCACCAAAATCTGAAAACATTTTAAAAAATAGCATTCGATATATTTTTTGTATACAGAACACATATAGATCTCTACACTATAATTAACTATTACTCCCTTGTGGAAAACTGAATAGTCAGTATTCATATTTGATATTTCAACAGAACATCTTTACATGTGCAAAATTAACAGTAAATGTGAAAAATGCTCCATATTTTAAACACTTGACTCCTTTATTGAAAGTATACTTGACTTGTTATAATGGTATAACGCTGGGGACATCACTGTATTGTAAATCCCTGTAAATATCACCTACCACTTTCTTCTCCAGAGAGATCTGCCTCAACGGGTTCCTCCTCTACAGGTTCAACAACAGCCTTATCTATCTTCTTACCCTTCACCTTCACTGGCCCAGCAGGTAGCGAGGCAATCACATCATCTGGTAATCTACTGTTCTTTAGTCTTTCTAACTTTAGTTTCTGCAAACAGATGGGATAATCATTTTATTATATGCTTTATCATAAAAATGTTCAGCGTTCTACTGGGAATGTTACCTTTGAACTTGGTTCATGATATGAATCAGAATTTTGACCAAGAAAATGTAAGAATTGGTCAAAACAATCTCAGTCTGGCCTATTTTGCTTACATAGTTGCTGGTGAAATGTTTTTAAACAGTAAGATTTCAAATCTCAGGGTTACACAATTTAGTCATTCATTTTGAGTAGGTCAGTACCATCCATAACATAACTTGTTGAATATGTTTGATCCATCTCCAAAAGCTGTTGTGATATGGCTCATTCATTACCACGTTGAGAGCAAACAATGTGTCTGTAAATAAACTCAATCATGGGCTATCAAGAGAAAGCCCATAACTGAATAAAGCACTTACTTTCTGCTGTTTAAACTGCTCGTCATGTTGTTTTCTTTTAGCTTTAACCTTCTTCCTGTCAGCATCAATCTGCTGCATGGCATCTTTGATCTTCTGTAGAGCTGTCTTCCTACTGCTGTCAAATGTGATGTCCTCAGGTGCAGAGTCGCTGTCGCTATCAGCCAGCAGCGCTTCATCATTAATTCCAGCATCTGTTATATAGGAGGCAATATACAGAGATTATGTCACTATTACTTGGAATATGCCTTAGTTCTACCAATATAGGCAGACCTTGGGAGGCTCTATATTTGGGCAAGAACGAATGCGTATTTCACGTCACAGTCATAGTGACTGACTGATGCATTACATACCTTTATTCCCATTGCTACTTTGTATCAATGACGTCACACATCTGTGTGCCAGTAGAATTTGATCGAAATGAAACATGACATCATGATATTGTCATGCATGGTTATTAAAGAAATCTATATCAAAATGAGGTAAGTGGGCTATATCAGGGTGAGGTAAGTGGGTTATATCAGGGTAATCGACAATATCGGTGGATATAACCCGCTAACTTTCCCATTGACTTCCACACAAATGCTTCACAAGGTATGTAATGCTACAAGAGTACAAGTTATATCTTATTTCATCCATGAGACTGTAGTATTTGATGTTCGAACTGTATCATGTGAATACACATTTTAACATGAAGTGTGGCCACCTGGATGGACTTAATAGGAGTATGTAAAGTTGAAATTTGGTTAGAGATTTTGCCTAAAAGTCTTATAAATTGTTACATATGGCTAATGCCAAATGAAAGTCACAGAAACTGGTGGCAACATACATCTGTAAATAAAACTTAATTTACACTTAAACATGGTGTATAAGTGTATCTTTCTAGAAATCCAACTTATAAAATAGATGTTAATACAATGTAGATCATATATACCATGTGCTTCTTTCTCTCCGTCAGAATCAACATCGTCTTCTAAGTCATCTTCTGAATCTGAGTTGAACACCTTCCTTGGCATCTTCTGAATGTATAAAAATCAAATTATTACAAAAGGCCACAGGTTTGTTGCACATAAAACAAATTTAACTTAAATAAACAAACCTTTCGCATGTAATACCTGTAAATGCATTTTACATTATATTACACACTGTGGTCTTTTGATTGGAGTATCAGTTGGAAATGTGAGGGTAGATTGATAAGGACATCCTTGGTCCAAGGGTATTTCACTTCTTTCCATACCCTTGGTGCAGCCTATACAATTGTTGGGATTGTGCAAACAAACTTTCAAATAGCCCTTAAATCACTAGCGAATCAGAAGCATTGTTACAATCAATGGTCAAAATCAACAAAGATTTTCGGTAGACTGTAAATCTAGTAAATCTAGTAAATCTTGTAAATCTAGTAAACCTAGTAAATCTAGTAAAATCTTGTAAAATCTTGTAAACTTTTTAGGGACCATTCATTTGATATCAATGTCAGTCTCTATGTAAGAGTATTGGTGATTATGATTCCTTTTACAACATTAGAAAAATACCTTCTCTGCATTAAAATTCAGAGTCATTCCTTTCATCAAATAATCAATATACAAATTTTTTAACAAAATTGTGAAATATTATAATAAAAAAGAATGTTTAAGGGGCTGGTATGATGGCTTTAAACTATTAATTACAAGGAATACAAGGAACATATCATCATCAAAACGTAAATGGAAAGCATTGTAGAAATGCCATACTATACTTTATGTATAGGTAAAGCAAATAGATCAATCAGTAAGTTGTCTCACTAGATTCCCCTTACTACAGCATTTGATTGTTTTTTTATTAATTTTTGGGGGTTGGCAAAAATCAATTTTGAAATTGCCATTTATCCATTTCTCTCACATTGGAACTTCTACAAATATTGTCAATTGAACAGCATCGCCAAAAAATAACTAAATTATCTGATAGGCTAAGCATTATAACATTTTGTGAGGGAAAAACAAGCCTGTGTCATTTAGATGGTAGCATTGTCCCCTCAGTCCTTAAATATGTAACTTAATTTGTTAATAGAGCATGCTTCTTGGGTAGACTGTAAATCTAGTAAATCTAGTAAATCTAGTAAAACTAGTAAATCTAGTAAATCTAGTAAAATCTTGTAAAATCTTGTAAAAACTTGATTATTCAATGTCTAAGATATAAAGTGCAAATGTCGAAAAAGCACTGAAAATGCCTTTGTATGAATGAAATGAACATGTAGAAAAAATTCTACCTTTTATTTCATTATATTAAGTTACAAAACAACTATATGTTAGTACTGGATAACAAAATGGTTATCAAATGGTACACCCATTTTATCATCATACACAACCCACCCAAAAAGCATGCTCTATTAACAAATTAAGCCACACATTTAAGGACTGAGGGGACAATGCGTACCATCTAAATGACACAGGCTTGTTTTTCCCTCACAACATTTTATAATGCTTAGCCTATCAAGATAATTTAGTTATTGCTTATTTTTTGGCGAAGCTGTTCAATTGACAATATTTTTAGGAGTTCCAATGTTAGAGGAAATGATAAATGGCAATTTCAAAATTGATTTTTGCCAACCCCCCAAAATAATAATAATAAAAACAATCAAATGCTGTAGTAAGGGGAAGCGTGATACAACTTACTGATTGATCTATTTGCTTTGCCTATACTTAAAGTATAGTATGGCATTTCTACAATGCTTTCCATTTAAGTTTTGATGATGATATGTTCCTTGTATTCCTTGTAATTAATAGTTTAAAGCCATATCATATCAGCCCCTTAAACATTCTTTTTATTATAATAATTCACAATTTTGTTAAAAAATTTGTATATTGATTATTTGATGAAAGGAATGACTCTGAATTTTAATGCAGAGAAGGTATTTTTCTAATGTTGTAAAGGGAATCATAATCACCAATACTCTTCATAGAGACTGACATTGATATCAAATGAATGATCCCTAAAAAGTTTACAAGATTTTACAAGATTTTACTAGATTTACTAGATTTACTAGATTTACGAGATTTACTAGATTTACTAGATTTACAGTCTACCTGCTTCTTGGGTGGGTTGTGTATGATGATAAAATGGGTGTACCATTTGATAACCATTTTGTTATCCAGTACTAACATATAGTTGTTTTGTAACTAAATATAATGAAATAAAAGGTAGAATTTTTTCTACATGTTCATTTCATTCATACAAAGGCATTTTCAGTGCTTTTTCGACATTTGCACGTTATATCTTAGACATTGAATAATCAAGTTTTTACAAGATTTTACAAGATTTTACTAGATTTACTAGATTTACTAGTTTTACTAGATTTACTAGATTTACTAGATTTACAGTCTACCAAGATTTTCTAAAGATGTTCACAGTGATAAACAGGCATTATATGTTCACTAATGAGTTTATTGCCCCAGTCTGGATGCATTTCTCTTTAAGAATCCAATTTATAAGTAATTTACATCCTATCAGGGGTCATAAACAGAGGGAGGACAAAACATGTCCATTGAAATTAGTATAGAGCATAGTGATTGGTAACGCATTTTCTGCGTTGACCACTTAGAAACTCAGCTTATTTATGACCCCTAAAATGAAACTAACTGGGCTTAAGTGAAGGGCTGAATTTAAGCATAAATGAAGTCCTTTGAAGAAGGATGGATAAGGATAACAATCAAATGTCTTCAGAGCCATCATACATGGAAGTATACTGTAAAGATGAACCTCCACTGGCTCTATATATTTTCTTTAAATGGGAATACATCTACTGAATGAGATTAAATAGAATATACAGGGTGGGCCAAAAAACACCACTTTTTTTTAAAAAAAACAGTAACTTTTTTTATTTCCCAACCTACATACGCCAAATTTTGCAGTTATATACAGGGTGGGCCAAAAAAACACCATTTTTTTCAAGACACTTTAACTTTTTTATTTTCCAACCTACATACCCCAAATTTTGCAGTTACCGTATTTGCCGTGATTGGCGCCCGGGCGCTTAAAGTAAGTCAAAACAGTTCAAAAAGTTGTCCATATTAGCGCCCATATGAGTCCCGATGAGAAAAGTGCCGGAGTTTCAGTTTCAGTTTAGGCTAGAAAAAAATTGGAAAAAAAGTTTGTTGAAATTCGCCATGTTTGCATGAATCGTAGGGTTCTTACCTATCCTACTCTTTTCGGAACACTACTGGAATATAAAACATGTACTTACATCAGTATTTTACTCGATAATTCGATAGGAAAACGATATTAACCCACGGAATCGAATACTTCTGTTTCAATTTCTTCTCAGCCTCGTTTTGAAATTTTCAACACAAACTGAACGAGGTGGCAAGATTACAGGAAAAATCACCGGTAAACATCAAAATAATGGATATATACTTGAGTAACCAACATTATATACATTTTATGGTGAAAAGAATGACATATTCAAGCTGGAATACCTTTTGGAAAACTGCAAAAAGTGATAAAACCAAGAAGTACTCTATTATCGCCCACTTTTGTTTTTCACATTTGACCCTAATGATCCTTGATTCTCCACCCAGGGACTCACACTCGTGCCTCCAAGAGTCTGGGTGGGCGCTAATAAGAACATGGGCGCCAATTACGGCAAATACGGTATATAGTGCCAAGGGTTCTTAGTAAGAATATAATGTAACAAGTCCTTCAACTGGGATTATATTTGATCTAAAAGAGGAGTTCAATTGGTCCGCCACCCTATTTGATGATAGATTTTAGTTTTAGTCGCCTTGCTGATATAGCAGTATCAATGAAATGTTAGCTATATTTTTTCAACGTGACTTAATTGCCAGCCTTAGTTGAGCAATTTTTTAGATTGGGTGCCTTCATACTATCTCCTGGAGACCTCCCCATACCCTATACTGACTTGGGTTTGCATAAGGGCTATTAACTTTGCGGTCATTGGGGTGTATCAGTTTAGGAACATTTTGCAAATTATGCTTATTTCTCATGGCACACCACATGTTTAGTGAGACGCTGGTGACATATTTTATTCTAGTAAAAGTATATAATTCATGATCCATGGCTAGATAACAACCTAAAGTTTCATTTGGTATGCAAATTATGATTTTGTATCAAAAATTAAAAAATTTGATTTGATCTAAAAGAGGAGTTTAATTGGTCCACCACCCTCTTTGATGATAACTTTTAGTTTAAGTCGCTATTCTGATATAGCAGCATCAGTGAAATGTTGGTTAAGTTTCTTTCAACTTGTCATAAAGCGTCTGTTGGGCAATATTACGAGAGTCGGTGCCTATATAACGTCTCTTAGAGACTTCCCAAGACCCTATAATCACTGGGGTTTGCATCAGGACTATTATATAGGTGGTATAAGTTCAAGTATATTATGAAAATTATGTTTATTTTTCATTGCACATGTTTAGTTGTGTTATCACGATTAATCGATACATCGCAATATTCATCGCCAAAAGTGATTCTGGCGATCCATCAATGTCTGAAACAAAACATCAATGTTTTTACAAAAAATAAATCTGCTAAAATCACCTTTTCCTACCTCATTTTCATGCAAATGCCATACCTTTTTCATTCTTTAGTTCATTTTCCTATATTGTCTGATATGCTTTAAAAATGTTTTAGTTTATTGAAATGAAGCAATATCCTCCATTTTTATATTTGGTTATGCACGTGACCTACTGGTCCTATCGAGATATGCATCGATGTTTACAAATTGACAATTGCTAATGAATTCATGTACGATTGTGGCACATCGAGACAACACTAATGTTTAGTGAGACACTGGTGACATCTTTTATTCAATTATAAGTGAACAATTCATAATGCATGGCTAGATTGCAAATTCATCTTTTATTTGGTATGCAAATTATGATTTTGGATCAAAAAAAGTTAAGACTCTACAGCATTATTTAAGGTACAGCTGGAAAGTAACATTTTGGTAAAAAATTGCTATACCTGCACATGTTATTTTCTGGTACAAAATAAAGTATGAAGGCATGTATCAATTTCCTTGCTTTTTTCAGGAAAGTATCATTACATTGTCTTCTTTTAGAATATCTGGTAGGCGTTCAAAGGGAACTCCAGGGAATTCTGATATTTCACACTTCCCATTTTTCCAAATTTTCTTTCAAAGTTTCCAAACACAACTCTGTTATCTTTGTTCAAAAAATGTCTAAAAATGCAAAAAAAATTGTCAATTCCTGTTTTGTCATTTCCTGTTAAGGTACAGCTGGAAAGTAACATTTTGGTAAAAAATTGCTATACCTGCACATGTTATTTTCTGGTACAAAATAAAATATGAAGGCATGTGTCAATTTCCTTGCTTTTTTCAGGAAAGTATCATTAAAAAATGTCTTCTTTTAGAATATCTGGTAGGGGTTCAATGGAAACTCCAGGAAATTCTGATATTTCACACTTTCTATTTTTCCAAATTTTCTTTCAAAATTTCCAGACAACACAGGAGCTACCATTGACCTGTTTCCAGATATTATAAAAGTAAACAGTGTAATGATACTTTCCTGAAAAAGCAAGGAAATACAAACATGACTTCATACTTAATTCTGTACCAGAAAATAACATGTGCAGGTATAGCAATTTTTTACCAAAATGTTACTTTCCAGCTGAACCTTACTTCCATAGCACCTTAAGGTTCAGCTGGAAAGTAACATTTTGGTAAAAAACTGCTATACCTGCACATGTTATTTTCTGGTACATAATTAAGTATGAAGACATGTGTGTATTTCCTTGCTTTTTTCAGGAAAGTATCATTACACTGTCTACTTTTAGTAAACCTGGAAACAGGTCAATGGTTATCCTGTTCCCGGACTATGGTCCTGTACGGAGCCCATACATTTGCCTGTACGATTACAACTTGGGAGAATTATCTACGCCCCTTCCACTTAAGAAACCTACCTCAATGCATTCTAGAACTTAAAATGTTACTTCTAATATATTGGAACCGCCGATTGTCTGGGTTAGTTGGCAGAACGAGGTATTTTTGTTTCTTATGGCTCTTTTGGTCGAAGTTCGATTAAGATGGCGGTTATAACGGAATTTCCCGAACTCTTCCGTAATAGCACGAACTTGGTTTTTCGTTACGTCACTTCCGTGTAAAATGGATTTGTCACCGGTAAGAGGGAATTTCGAAAATTTCGGACAATATTTTCAATATTTACTGCCATGTCGACATCCTATGCTCTTAACTGTATACCGAATGGTTAAACAATGTTTCTTACCGGAAACAAATCCATTTTACACGAAAGTGATGTTATGAAAAACCAAGTTCGTGCTATTACGGAAGAGTTCGGGAAATTCCGTTATAACCGCCATCTTAATCGAACTTCGACCAAAAGAGCCATAAGAAACAAAAATACCTCGTTCTGCCAACTAACCCAGACAATCGGCGGTTCCAATATATTAGAAGTTACATTTTGAGTTCTAGAATGCATTGAGGTAGGTTTCTTAAGTGGAAGGGGCGTAGATAATTCTCCCAAGTTGTAATCGTACAGGCAAATGTATGGGCTCCGTACAGGACCAAAGTCCTGGAACGGGATAAGTCAATGGTAGCTCCTGTGTTGTCTGGAAACTTTGAAAGAAAATTTGGAAAAACAGGAAGTGCGAAATATCAGAATTCCCTGGAGTTCCCTTTGAACGCCTACCAGATATTCTAAAAGAAGACAATGTAATGATACTTTCCTGAAAAAAGCAAGGAAATTGATACATGCCTTCATACTTTATTTTGTACCAGAAAATAACATGTGCAGGTATAGCAATTTTTTACCAAAATGTTACTTTCCAGCTGTACCTTAAAAAAAAGGGGCGTTGGCCCACCCTTACCCTGTAAAGTCTAAGGATAAATCCATCTACAACTCCTGTACCTATTTCTAGAATTAACAATCAATATCAACATCAAATATGGCAAATCCGTGTCCAAAACAAAATAAATGCCCACATGTTTATAAAATAATGGGCGATAATATGTGAAATTTCCATTCCCATAAGAATAAATTGCAAGGTATCCTTAAAATGTTAATTGTATATCATTTAACTGTGGGAGATGATGAAACTTTATTATTTTACTTACACTTCCTTGCTCTATATTCCGCTATAAACCGTATAAACATGCAAATAAGGCTCTAAATTTTTTGATTTTCTCGGTCTTGTCTAAAAGTTCACTGTTTTTTTGTGAAACGAAATCATAAAAATGCATGCCATACAGTACTTGTACCATGGACTTGAGTGGGCCCAGAAAAAAAAAATTGGCTCATGGTTAGGGCCAAAAAAGGCCTTAAGACCCCAAAAAGGGCCTTTTGGTCATAAATGGGCCTTCCAAGGCCTTATTTTTTCATTTAAGGCCAAATTTTGAAGAAAATGGGCCTCAAATTTCAAAATTAGGGCCCACTTTTAGGTTTTAGGGGCCCAATTTTTTTTTCGCAGACCAGAAGTTTGCCCCCCCCCCCTTGTTGGCTCCCAGATCCGCCCCTGTTACATCTAGATGCATTCTTTCACTCTACTATACCTTGCATTTGGTGTTCATAAGCAACCCATTTGGCTCATGGTAATGATTATGTTATTTGTTTTTATTTGTCTGTTCCTTATTAACTGATTAATGGTTTATCGGATGACTGTTAGATGTTAATAAGGTACTTTCAAAAATATGCTAAACAATACAATCAAACAGAGTATCTTATGCATTTCTAGGGGTTAGGTATACAATACATATTAGTAGAGTGTATTTGTGGACTTGACATAAAGCTATATTCCCTTTTAGTAACTGCTGCCATCTAAGATGATCAGTTGAAATCATAATTATACAAATGGTTTAAGGATTTTCCATGAATCTTTTTGCAAGGTTAACGTAGAAGCTTCAATATGAAGCTGTAGAGTCAAGTTGTCACCTTGACAACCATTCAACGAAAGATCTTAGGCGAGTTATTGATTATATAATGCAGTGCAGTTATATGAAATACTGTATTTGGATTGGCTGGAATTGGACACACCTTGCCTAGCTATATGTGAATAGACTATCAACAGAGTTCATTGAGAATGATTTGTCGTTGCATACCATGTCTAGAAGTATATACATGTATAAGAATGGATTCAAGTAGAACACATGTTTAAAACTTTTTGTAAGGGTTTGGTCAAATGAAAAATGATGAATTAAAATGGATTGAATAAGATGTTAGTTTGAATCAAAGATTACCTTAATATTTCAAATACTTTCAATTCAGTAATTTTGATGAAGTGGCAAATGATGGGTTTCATCAAACAATTTGACCACCAAAGATGATAATCAGACCCACATAAAATTGAGTTTGTTTTCCTAATGTCACCCATTGTGCTTTCTCAAAAATAAAAGGTTCAGGCAAATATTGTATATTTGCCATTGCACTATTAAGGTGTTCCAAGTAAGGAAAGAGTTTTTGAACTTCTTTGACCTTTTCATTATGTAAACAGGAGTCAAAATAATTGTTCAAGTCATAATAATTGTTTAATACAAAACTGAACAACACATTTATGTTTTGTTTCATCTTTGTCAAAATAATTGTTCAAGTCATAATAATTGTTTAATACAAAACTGAACAACACATTTATGTTTTGTTTCATCTTAGGCCTAATGACTTTAATGTCTAAAGACATGTTTTATTCTTTCCATACAAAAACTACATCTCACATTTCAAATTTTAATTGTTATAAACTCTGAATTTTACATAATTACACATATACATGTACAGTACTAAATTGTAATTAATATATTCATGTTGTTTTACATGCACGACCGAAATATAAACATAGTCACAAATACAACTTCAACCAAATTTTGAAATAATGATCATCAACTTAAATTGCAAAGTTACCACATAAATTAATGTCTGTACTTTATATTAGACATTATTGTTGCATTTGATAGCCTTATAATCATGTCATATGAAGCGATTTCTACAAAAAATAAAGTTAATTATGATTTATATGTACTTTATACAATTTTGCACAAGAGATAACAATAATAATACAAGGTATTTCATATCTCTATTGCACAGGAAAATATTAAAGTGAACCTGAAAAATGAATTAAGCATGTTTTTGTATTTTGTGATTAATTTAAAGTTTACACGTGTGCATTATTATCAGAATATGCATGTATATAATATATTGGGTTGTGATTCCACTTATGTGAACATGCATGTGACCCTATTTGTGACCAAGTTTTGTGAGCTCAAAACTTTCCAAATATATAAACAATAACATGTACAAAATCCACAGCATTTTCATAACATGTACTGTATATACAAATCACTCAAATCATATACTACATCAGCAAATTAACACCACATGAATCATGAGAGCCAAAGCAGCTGCTATTAATTTTTCCTCACATATTGCCATTATTCTATTATTCCTAAGTGTCTGGCTTCACCCACCTTAAGATCAAAGAGTCAGCTTAAATCACCAGGCCTGGCTCACCTTAAGACAACTGGCTCTATATTTAATCTGTGACATCCATGTATAAAGGAATGTATAATAGAAGCACAAAAAATTATTATTATTACAGCTTTACAAATGTACATATACATATTAACATGTTTTTTGCATTATGACTTATATTAAAGCACCCTCTATTGTCTAGTTGTTCTTGATACTATTCTCTAGTACTAAACTAAAGCAGACACATTTTCAGGTGCATCAACGGTGCATCAACAGTTCATAAACAAAATTAAACAAAAAACACATGTAGAACATTAAATTATTACAGGTACATGATCAAACTACATTAGCGCTTTCACTTAATATTCTTAAGTGTCACAATCAAAGCAAGCTCAATCCATGAACTTGTAAATTAACAATACTCTAGTGATCTCCCCAGCATTGAAGCAGCCAATCTGGTGCACCACCCAGTTGAGGATTTTGTACCCAGCTGAGGATCAATTTATACCAAGTTGAGGATCTATTTGTACCCAGTTGAGGATCAATTTGTACCCAGTTGAAGATCAATTTATACCAAGTTGAAGGTCAATTTATACCAAGTTGAGGATCTATTTATACCCAGTTGAAGATCTATTTGTACCCAGTTGAAAATCATTTTGTACACAATTGAGGATCAATTTATACCAAGTTGAGGATCTATTTATACCCAGTTGAAGATCAATTTGTACACAATATATTAAGGATCAATTTTTACATAATTGAAGATCTATTTGTACCCAATTGAAGATCTATTTGTACCCAGTTGAAGATCTATTTGTACCCAGTTAAAGATCTATTTGTACCCAGTTGAAGATCAATTTTTACTCAGGTGAAGATCAATTTGTACCCAGTTGGGGAACTTTTGAACTTTTGACCAGTTGAGAATTGAAAATCATGAAAAATTTGGATGCTTTGAGTATTGGGCATTTATAAGTCAGAATTGGCAGGGATGAATAACCAAAAGATATTATTCAAACCTCAATATTGGATTTTGCACTCGGATGAGATAATCCTGGGGAGACAACAATAGTTTCTTTTGAATTCAATGCAACAAATTTATGTCATTGTAAAGCTTTGTCATGTAAATATCTATCATACTGGCTTTGTACACAACATTTAACATTTAAAGCAATAAATAAACAATTGTGTAAAGTACAATATCACAAAACCCAAGAAATGCAAAAGCATTTAAAGCTTCCTTGTATTTTTCTACTTTTGCTATCTAGTATTATCCAAGCACAAAACGTCCCATGCTATAACGAACATTAAAGGAGGCTTATATATAAAGTGCAACTTCAGTGTCATAAATGTGAAGTAGAAATATGTACCTCACAAATTATGAATAAATGGGGAAAATATTGTCGATGATAAAACATTGCACATTTTCTGAATCAAAAAAAAAACGCTACAAAATGTACATGAACATGTAAATACAATATTCCAATTGAAAACTTGTAGAAAAATACACATCTGAATAATCTTATAATAACAGCCAGACTGCATTCTATGAATCAAACAAGCCCTATCCAGCTTTATTCAGCTTTACAAAGTCTCAAAGCTTTATATATCCAACTTCAAAGCTTACTCCTGTAGCTATTTTAAAGTGTATTATGTATTTATTTTACAGCATCTCTGATATTTTCAGTGTAAAATATAATATATACTTCATGGTTACAATATGTATACTGTATCAGACAGATGACTCATGAAGATATGACTAATAGTGATTTGCTATCTTTGTATTTTGTTCACAATCTGAATCTACTCGTATTACTGCTTTATAGCATTTCAGTGTTCATGTATCTGCAAAAGTGCCACTTTTTGCCCTTTTAAAGGTTCTAGTTGCACATAATTGTTTCCATTTAGTCTTACAATATGAAGTGAGTCTTCTTTGCAAATTAGAGCTCCAAACTTGCACACATGTTTCTTGTTTTACTTGTTCATGTGATCTAGCAAATACCTGCATATAGGATAGAGTTCATACCTATGTTCACACAAACAACAATATAATGATGCACAATGTTGTTATCATTCAATATGATGACACACACTCCTGTTATCATTCAATGTGATAACACATACTGCTGTTATCAATCAATATGATGACACACAATGTTATTACCCATCAATATGATGACACATACTGCTGTTATCAATCAATATGATGACACACAATGTTATCATTCAATGTGATAACACATACTGCTGTTATCAATCAAGATGATGACACACAATGTTATTACCCATCAATATGATGACACATACTGCTGTTATCAATCAATATGATGACACACAATGTTATTACCCATCAATATGATGACACATACTGCTGTTATCAATCAAGATGATGACACACAATGTTATCATTCAATGTGATAACACATACTGCTGTTATCAATCAAGATGATGACACACAATGTTATTACCCATCAATGTGATGACACATACTGCTGTTATCAATCAATATGATGACACACAATGTTATCATTCAATGTGATAACACATACTGCTGTTATCAATCAATATGATGACACACAATGTTATTACCCATCAATGTGATGACACATACTGCTGTTATCAATCAATATGATGACACAAAATGTTGTTCTCAATCAATATGATGACACACAATGTTGTTATCAATCAATATGATGACACATACTGCTGTTATCAATCAATATGATGACACATACTGCTGTTATCAATCAATATGATGACACATACTGCTGTTATCAATCAATATGATGACACAAAATGTTGTTCTCAATCAATATGATGACACACAATGTTGTTATCAATCAATATGATGACACACAATGTTGTTATCAATCAATATGATGACACACAATGTTGTTATCAATCAATATGAAGACACACAATTTTGTTATCAATCAATATGATGACACATACTGCTGTTATCAATCAATATGATGACACATACTGCTGTTATCAATCAATATGATGACACAAAATGTTGTTCTCAATCAATATGATGACACACAATGTTGTTATCAATCAATATGATGACACACAATTTTGTTATCAATCAATATGATGACACATACTGCTGTTATCAATCAATATGATGACACATACTGCTGTTATCAATCAATATGATGACACAAAATGTTGTTCTCAATCAATATGATGACACACAATGTTGTTATCAATCAATATGATGACACACAATGTTGTTATCAATCAATATGATGACACATACTGCTGTTATCAATCAATATGAAGACACACAATTTTGTTATCAATCAATATGATGACACACAATGCTATTACCCATCAATATGATGACACATACTGCTGTTATCAATCAATATGATGACACACAATGTTGTTATCAATCAATATGGTGATACACAATTTCGCAATGTGGTTATTCATTAATATGATGACACACAATTTGATTATCAATCTCATAGTCACTAAATGTGATGACACACAGTGTGGTTATACATAAATATAATGACACACAATTTGGTTATCAATACCATTGTCACTAAATGTGATGACACACAAGGTGGTTATTACTCTAAGTGATGACACACAATGTGGCATACACCACATTGCACAAATACATATTGTTGCTCAATGTTAAAGATTGAGACTAAATTATAACTGTTCTAAAAGGTAGTGTGTGTGTCCATCCTTTAGATGGATCATTTTCCAATGAATCAAAGTAAATACACTTGGACTCTAGGGTGTTCATGTTACACATTGTCAAATTGTTTATAGTTAATCTCCAAGTGTAATATTGACAGCTCCAAGCTCTCTCCCATTATACTTCTCTAGTTTTAACTCCCTCGTTTGCCAAAACTCTGATGTAGTCTCAACAACCAAAACTTAAAGGAATTAGATTCGAAATGTTGTTGAAACAACAGGCACATATGTAGTTCTATCACTGGGAGGTGACCAATCATGGGCTTGATAATCTTCCAACAGGAAATGCTCAGGTGTGTTGAGTAATACCGACAATAATTCCCAGTCCATCAAGTTCCATCATACTGTCGAAGCTTCAAAATGTAACATTGTGAAATGAATATAACGTCTACAGTGTAAGTTGGTCATTGGCTCATTTTAGTGAGGCCAATGGTCACTTCTTATGGCAATCATCACTTCTTAATTATGCAGTTACCCTGTACTCTTCAGTACATTCTAGAACTGACAATGTATACAAAATTTATCCAAAACTCTAGAAAGGCATCCTCAAATAATTCTCTTCTCGATAATGACACACTCATTGGTCTCTTATCTAAACCACTAGATAAACAAACATGCGCTAAGTTTGTAAAATTTCTAATTTGTTGCTTTTTCGTGTGATTTTCACTCCACCAGGTTGTATCTCTGGATGACCCACTTTGAAGGCAACATCAACTAATTGTCCATTAAACTCTGCTTGGAATCTGAAATAACCAAGTGTAACATATAATCTTGTGTCTAAAAAACTATCCGCTCTTTCCAGTGGTATATCACACTCTTGTGTCATACAGTATACATACACAGCTACTTTCACCAAGGATTGTACATTTACAATATAAGACATGTATTGTTCCTTCTAGTTTTGTATTGTATTTTATGGTAGTATTAGAAAAGGCATTTTCATAAAACACTGGTGGAAAACAGTTTACATTAAAGGGCCTACTACAAACAGTGAGGTCTTTGAAATGTTCATTTGCTGACTTACTGGTGTGCTATTGTGACATCAATTGGTTTCCCTGAACCTCTCTGGGCTATTAGGTAGGCCTTAGCCACAATCTCTATGACGTGGTCACAGCTAAAGATGAAATCCCCCTTCTTGCTCAATGGGTTACCATTCTCAGGATACTGAAAATAGCAAAAAAACTGGTCAGTAAAATTAGATGTTCATCCTTCCCGGCACCATTACCCTTAATTGCTGGTCAATAATGCATGCAATATGAACAAAATGTTTTGATCCCTGGGGCTCACCATTCCTGTATAAATATTCAGCATAACGTAATGAATTGTTAAAAGTCAGGAGAATTGTCAACAGTTCATTAAAATTCACACTTGTGTGTTCAATCAGACATTGATGCCTACCTTCTTGACATGAAAGACAACTATGCGGTCACTGTAAGGACTGAGAGAGATACGATCAATGTCCCTGGAGTCCAATCTGTACTTGTAGGCTAAAGTCCTCTGGTCAACTATGATTATTGCATTCGTACTCAACACAAGGAGAGTAGGCACCATCTGGAAAATATTAAGAACGATACTTTTGAAATTAATAATTACTGATTTTTTGTTGTTATTAAAAAAAAGTTTTCTGAACAAGTTTAACTTAAGTTAATCAAACTAGATTCTTATACAACTAAAGTTTTATCCAGATCTATGAGAATCCAATTTCATGAAATATCATTGACACAAATCATTAATCCATGGGGTCTCTTGAAAGCCCATGATTAATCTATAATTGGATTCAAATTTTATGGTTTATAAATCGCAATATTGTCAAGGTACATTGCACCCTTGGTACAGTTAAGAGCAAGTAATTGATAAATTAAATTCAAATATCAACATATCAGTGAGCTGCAAAAGAAAAGGTGCATTTGAAGACATCATTTGACTGACTTATATATCTGCCATGGTTCAAAAGACTCAATGTTACCTTTCCATTGGCTCTGTTTATCTTCATGACAATGTCAGCGAACATGATATGATGATCATTGTAGTCTGTGGAGACCTTCTTCCACCTTGTGTTGGTCCGTAGTGATACATAGTCTCCTTTGTAAGGGTGTGAGATACTGAAATAGCACATCACTCAACTTTCTAAAGTACGTATAATCAGATAACTGCTGCATGATCAAAATCAAGTTATTAGCATTTGTGGATGTAGCAATAATTTCAGAATTGTTTTGTTAGATTGGTCCAGCATTTTTGCACAAAAAATTATTGGCTCTATTATTATTTTTATTTTTTTTATTTATTGATTTTTCAATACACCTCTTATAGGGTATAAGAGTACAAAAGACAAAACTAATACGAGCGTACAGTAATAAACATTAAAATTATGAATTTAAACAGATACTGAAACAGAAAAGATGAATAGTACTGTACTTGAAACTAAAACAAGGCATTCACATGACAAAATGTTGCCATCTAGAAAGTGTAACAATTGTTCCAAGTGTCACTAGCTCTTGGTGATGATTGAAAAGAATTTCAGATTAAAAGCAATTTTAATTTTACCTCTTTGGATAGTTTTGCTTCCTATCTTTAAATATATCACTAGCTACAACTTTTTCTTTCATTTTCAGTCTAGATGGTTGGTCAAATCTCAGTCGATATTTGTGACACTAAAAATAAACACACATCTATTAAGCATTTGGGTCAACTGTACAATCTTTCAATGTAAAAAAAATTTTGGGGTCCCTTCTTTAGAAAACCCATGCAATAAATCAATACTATTTATTGTATGAGAAACCCAGATGAAAGAACTTCATCTCTAATGTACAATATGAACAAATTACATGTAAAAGAATACATTTCATTCAAAAAATCATTTTCATGTTACACAATTGGCAAAACATTGTTTTTATTTAATGACTAAAAAGGTCAATACACAGACACAAAATATTAAAAAGGAAAAAAATCTGTTTCGTTACCCTCCATTTATGGTATATTTTGCGGATCTCCTCAGAGGCGGGTCTGTGAAGTCTTGAGCAGGTGGGCCAGTCTCGGGCAAGGGGAGATTCTGACGGTAGGTGGTCACGGAGTTGCAGCAGGAATCGACGTTTCTACATCACAAGGAACAAACAATTATATGAGGACTTACATGTAGGTACACGTACTACATATTTATCATTTTCTTCTGACATACAAAAAAACAAAAATGTATCTAACATTGGAAAGTCAAAAATGATTCTCCTCCATAATTCAGTTACGAGATGGATGCAGGGCGACATCATAGAATACCAATTACCAACTTTATGCTTTTATTAATTTTTAGCTATTAATCCGTGACAATGATTTCAGAGTTCAGACTGCTGTCTATTCACAATGCAAATGCATTAACAACGATATTGTTACCCAATCTTCAACTACTGTATAGTTAAATCTGTGTTTTAAAATTGAGCCTAAAATGGAGAGGTAGACTTCAAAACTATTTTAACAACATTTACCATTGGAAAGCCAATGATCACTCACCAAAGCAGTCTGTATAAACCGTATGATTTTGGGGCCAGCGTTTGACCGGAACTTTGTCCTGAACTCTTTGCGCACTTTCCAGCCTTGGTAGTACTTGCGTATTACGCCAACAGCCCACAGACATTTCTTCTCATACTTCAACTGAGCGAGCAACCTTCTGGCCTGGAATAGGAGGGTTAACAAAATAGGTTATTGGAATTTAAACAAGTTAATTGGTACATACAGCACAAGATCAAATGTTTCAATATTAATTCATTTTTGTATGAACAACATTTCAGTAACATAAAACCATACCTGAAAAATGATAAGCCCTTATTACAGCATTCCCCAAATTATCTAGTTAGATTTGACTTGTACTGTACTGTACCAATATTTAACAATAACAATAAAAACAAGTTCAGTCTCGTGTTGTAATCTTACATAGTATGATATTTAATTCTTTCGATTCAATAATATGTTTCAGCGTGGCATGAGCCAATATGTGAGACTTGCGAAATATTATAAAACAAAGTAGCTTTGGAACCCAAAAATATGAAAATGGCCGACATGAATGTGAACTTCTCAAATACAAGTGAAGTGACCATGCATTTAACAAGTGAAGTCTTCTACACAGTTCACAGTTTCACAGACACAGGATATGAGCATTCTTGAAACTGTGTAATAGACCAATGTGAATAGAGATCTCATATAATAATATACATATGATATATATATATATAATATCTAATAGGATCAATTACATGTGCAGTAAAATACATGCTTTAAAAATGAATAGATCACTTACAGCTAAGCACAGCCCATAATTAAAAATATCATAATCTTGTTACCAAATCTCAAAACAGAATCATAATTACCATAGCCTCCACTCCTTACTATATCAAAGATAATAGCAATAGCTAAGAAGATCTCTGGTAAATCAGATTGTCAAAACAATTAACTGAACAAATACTGTTAATAATTAAAGGGACCAACTTGAATGTGTTAAATAATTTATTTGACAAAATAAGATCTTTACATTTCCAAACTAAAAATAAACAAAAGAGAGCTACCTTCCACCCCCTAATAAATGAACATATTGTAATAGTGGCATTCCTAACAGCCTGGAAACGAGTTCTGGCCTGAAACGTAATAAAATCAAACAAAATATGTTAAAATAAATGTATATTTTCGAAACCCAGTTCGTGATTACTGTATTTCAATTTGAAGATCGACCGAGCTAATATGCTACTTTAATACAGAGGGGACCTGTTTATTGTTGAATGTGTCTGTCTATGATGAAACCAATTCAATCACATTGTTCAGAAATGAGAACTTTATGAAAACTAAACCCCACCAGAGAAACCAGTCATAATATTAGTACTAAATAAATGATACAATTCCCTTTTGGAGTTCTTTGCATGAAATCTGGTACAAATATGATCTGTTGATAAAATGCAAGTGAATGTAAGTAGCATATTGGTTCAAAATCTTCAAATAAAATACCCTACAATACAGCACATGCTAATGGAACAAAAACAATTATATTTATTTAATTATTAGAATAAACACAACATCAATGAGAGTTATTAAAATATATGGTACATGGCGCATATTGTTCTTTGGGGAGTAGAATTTATGAGGCACATATAACATCAGTTAATTATATATCACCATACCCTTAACCTAACTATAGACATGAATTTATTCAAGACCTGGGCGTAAAACAGGCCCTAATGTGCAATAATAGCTTTACATAAATTATCCACTGAAGAAAAAATTGAGAAATTATGTCATTGGTTTCAATAAAGAACAATATGCTAAAATGATCAGAAAATAATGGATTTATGTTGCTTGATATAATGTGTTTCAGTTGGATTGCAAATGGACAGTAAGTGTAAAATAAGGATAGGGAGATAAAGGATATAAAAATATTACTGTATGTTTCATTCATTATTTTAATTTGATTTGTTTCTTCTTTTAATTTAATTTCACCATTTTCCAACTTGCTTTTTCCAACTTCCAAGTTGACTTAATTTATAGAGAAGAATTATATGAAGAACCTTTCCTGGAAAATGGAACCATTTGTAAATATGACTAACATCAATCATTGGCCTGCATCAATGAAATGTGAAAGAAGCTATATCTAAGACCATTTCCAATCCAACTGCATTGTATCATAAACATTTGGTTTATACTGTGTTACAAAGAAATCTACTGGGATGATGGGTTAATGTCGAACATTTCTGTAAAGGATTTGACAAAACTAGCATTCTCAATTATTATTTTCTAAGATTTTACCTCTAATGTGCAGTGTAAACAGAGTCTATCAACCACCAGTATATTCATAAACAACCAACAGGAGTATGGGAAATTAAGCCTGATCTAATCATTAGCAGTCTGCAATGGTAAGCACGTGAAGAAATTGGCTTAATGTTCCGATACTTCATTGTGATTTGCTATGAGACACACAGCCAGTGGGTGATTTACTTGTTCTACAATGAACTTAAGAGGTATAGGCAATTACCTGGTCATAAAATGTCTGAGAAAGAAATAGTGAAAAATATTGAAATAGTGGAAAATGTGTGAGTTAAAACAATAGAACATGTTCAGCTGTATTTCAAGCATAAATATTTTAGTAAAGAAAATAGTATAGATACAAAGAAGAACATTTGCGAAAGACTACATGTAGATTATGTCAAAATTAACATGGTAGTACAAATATATATTAGAAATACACAACATTGTGAAGAATATAAATTTGTGTTCAAGATTTAAAGGAAATGACCATTTCTTAACAATCTCATTTTCTCCCAGCTGTGAATTCTAATTGCAAAAGTGACCAAAATGGCTATGCATATATTTGTAGTATTAATGTTATGACTCACCTGGTAGCCTCTAAAGTTACTAGATATGACAATCTGGCTCCGCTTCATCAACTGGAACAATACTCTCATCCTCCACCCTCGGAACATTTTCTGTATAAGTGTGGCCAAGTCATGCATCCTCTCGCGTCTAAGCTCTTCCAGATCGAACAACTTAAAAAAACACCAATATCAACTACTTTAGTGTCTTCAACGCTTATTGAGCTCTATAGAACTCCCCTCAGAATGAGCATTTACTGTGAATGTGTGATATTACTGAAGGTGGAACTCTATTTTGAAAGTGTACACACACTTTGACGCAATCAAAAAATTCAATTGCAACGTAGTGTCTTGTTATCTGGCTATCCTAAATAGAAAGATGTTTCAGTTGGAGCGTGTTCATATCAGACACTTTCTAGTCCCATTAAGACATTTCTAGTTCATAAAATTCCCCACTAATCTTCTAGACTCAGTATGCTAGTATGAATTTATGAGGCTTGGTGTATACGAACTGCGAGCAAGACGGGGCTATTCCAGGGCCTCATAGCATTTACAGAGTCATAATATAATATGGATGGCGCCTTTGGGAATTTCTTCCTAGAATTTAATTACTTTGAGGTGAAAATATATCTTAAACACTTTTCTTGATGAACTGTTTTGTGGATCCTCAGAGAGGAATCTGTCTTGTATGGCAATTCAGTTATGAGATGGTGGCAAGGTGACATTATAGAATGCCAATTAACAACTTTAAGAAGCTATTAACCTTTGGCAATGATTTTCAACAGCTATCTATTTACCATGCAAAATGACTTACACCACAGTTTACTTCAGAATTCATCTAATGCAGAATTATACTTGTGATACTGTTAAAATTGAGCCTAAGGGGATAGACTATTTGCTATAAAAGATTTTTATTTCTTGCCCTGGCCTAGTATCAATAATTTTTTTGCCATTTGTTACAGGCATTGACCACTGTTACAGACACAGAACACCAACCGCCAAACACCATCCAAAAAAAGGTTGGAAACATTAACAATATGTGACCACTTCTGGTGCTGAGATAATAAAAATGTACCCTGCGCGTAGAGTCTAGTTATAAACTACCCTCTGCCTAGTATAGACTACAGGGTGTCCCGAAAGTATGGGGCCCCCCTAGGCAGACATATTCCAGAGTCCTCATAGTATGTGTCATATATCATTTTAAAGCTTATCCAAAGTTACATTGATTCGGCAAGTATAATGGTTTAACTCCCAAATGGGAAAAAGTTACAGTCATTTTAAAAGTTAGTGTTTTATCAAAATAAAGTTCAATTTTACACCACATTACGAGTCAATGAGTCCCCCCTTGGACATGTTAACAGCCGCAATTATTTTCAAATATGACCTTAAAAGCCCTTCAAATAGGGGTGTGGAATTTTATAACCCTCTTAAAACCTGTTAAGGCACTTTAGAGGAGGTTCCTTGGAGTTTCTACCCTCACCGTTCTCTTTTTCCAACTCAATATCTATCCGACCCAAAAAGAATTGCTGCTGTTAAGATGGCCCGGGAGGACAAATTGACTAGTGATTTGGTGTAAAGTTGAACTTAATTTTGAGCAAACACTAAATGTTGAAATGCCTGTAACTTTTTCACATTTGAGAGTTGAACCATGATACTTGGCGAATCAATGTAACTTTGGATAAGCTTTAAAATGATATATGACACATACTATGATGACACTGGTATATGTCTGCCTAGGGGGGGGCCCCATACTTTCGGGACACCCTGTATATTACAGTTTAGCAGCCCCACCCCCACGACCAATATCCGTGATATTTTTATTTGCATGTAAATCTACTGAATTTTGAGTTACAAAAGATGGACTATAACACACTTACAAGCTTGGGATTCTTGATGAAGATTTTGGTCCTGCCAAAAGCAAATTCATCTTGGGGAATATATTGAGCAGTTAGAATTTCCTCCACTCCAGTCTTGTGAGCACCACGCCAGTTTGGCCATGTCTTTTCGGCCAACATCTTGTATCTGGAGTGGCAAATAATCACATAATTGGGAAATACTTCACATTTTTTAATCACCATAACTTGGCAGTGCATGGCTCTAATGTAATGCCTTATTGTACACTTACTGTACTCTAAATTGCCTATTAGCTCACTATTTATATCAATCACCTTGTAATACATGTAATTAAGTCTAAACTGAGCCACTGGTTTACAAAGATAAGAATGGATGTAGTTCTAGGTCAAAAGCAATTAGTGGAAGATAATGAAACATAATATTGTTTCACAAATTTACAACTAAATGAAGAGGCTTCAGTATTACCCTGGGATGTGTTCATGTTACAAAATTCAATTACTCACATTAATTGATGTACCATGAGACATTGAAAAAATGGTTTCTTTGCAAAGTGTCCACTCAACAGTTTTAGGATTCAACAGTAAGTAAGTAATTAAGTTTACCTATAAAGGAACTGTCCGTAAACTTGTCTGAAGGCATAACCAGCACGCCTCACTCTGACATTCTCCATAAGCCCCAAATATCGCACCTGATGACGCACCAGAGTCTCCTCAAATAAACCACCCTTCTTGAAGTCATTAGGCTACAAAACATATTCAGTTAAAATCACTCAATATTCAATTCAAATCATTTTATTTATTTATTCAAATAGATTAATATTTTCTCAATCAGTATTGTTAAATTCATATTAACACTGCTCAATAAGAATCAATCAAATATCATTTCATCAAACCAACATTGGGTCTTTCATACTCATCATTCAAATCAATATATTGGATCCATAAACTGCCCTATAAAGTATGCTGCCTATTAAGCATGATGGCATAAAAAAGATGGCAGTTCAGATAGGATCCAGGAATAATTTTAGAACAATAAAGCTGTTTAAATAGTCTAGCTACAAGCCCTTGTGACCCTCTCCCCCCTCCAATACAACAAGTGTCTGTGTCAGAAGGTGTTTAGTCAAGTAGAGGGAGAGTCACAGAGGCTTATAGCTTAGGTCTAAGACTTCTGCTTAAAGTGAATACTACAAAGACTAAAAGTGCTCACATTTTGATTTTCTTGAAGAAGAGGTGTTCATATACATATGTTTCACTGCACTGTACATACCTTTATACATCTAATATAGTTTGGCTGCTTTGAGAGTAGATTCCGCATGAGCTCAGTGACGGAGGCCTTTAACTGAGAACCAGCAGTTGGTGGCCTCTTCAACGAAGCTTTGCTTGGACTTCCTGCAACCCAAGAACAAGAAATATTATTGGAATAAGAATAATTTCTAATTATTGTTGCAAAAAATTAAATAAAATGACCCGAATCTTTTTTGTTACTCTACACATGTACGTAAGTATACCGAACATTTAAGATTGATAAAAGAAATATTTTCTGTTAAATGACTTGTTATAATGAGGCGATTAAGGATTTTTTAGTAGGAATAACAGAAGTAACTTACCCTCAGGGAATAGTTGTTTAAGGAGTGCATGGTCACAGTTATACATTGCCCTTGAGAGATCCCGATACAGCAAGTCATTGTTCTTGTCTAGAAAACCTTCTACCCTGTAAATCACCTGGAATATCACATTAAGATTCATCATTAGTGACAGAAATATAAGTGACATACAAATTAGTGACACCAAACCTCATCAGGTTGGGAATGGAACTTTTTAACTTGAACTCTTGTGGCTTGCTCTTGTTCTAACATCTTGTCCAACTTACTTGATTTTCTTGTGTTAAGCTTGAATAATGTGATTTATTTTCTCACCTCTCCTGCATAGTGTTTCAGCCTAAATGCATCGTGTGGAATAGTTTTATCGGAAATCGATTTCTTGCAACCTCTGCTTTCATAGTGAGGATGGTCACAGCACTGGGAATTGAGTTTGTTTAGGAATGTTTGATCAGAGACATCACCTGGCCTCAAGCACTCTTCATCTAGTAGAGATAGGATCCCTACATTACTCTGGAACATAACACCACAAAATATATATATACATCATGTTTAAGATTCATGCATCATTGATTTTTGTCAGACATCAAAGCACAAAAACCAGTGTGTAGCGTCATATACCTAGATTCAAAAAAATATAAGGTTCGTGCACCATAGATTTTTGCCAGAAATTTAAACACAAGAAACAAGTGTATAGTCACAGATCTAAGATGGGAAAGAGTTTATTGATAATTTGTATGCATAAGGCTATGAGAGCGATTATGCGAAATTTCACAAAACCTAATGGCTACGTGACAATAAAATGCTTACCTTCTCTATGAGCTCACAAATGACAGAATTGTTGAAGTAATCTACATGTATCCACTCTATTCCCTCCTTCACATACTCCTCTTGTTCTTCCTTGAGGGTGAGCTCAATGAAGATCTGTTGCAACTTCTCATTGCAGAAGTTTATGATGAACTGCTCAAAACTATTACACTGAAAAATAAAATTGTTTTAACTTTTTGATCTAATGTGTACGTTTCATATATTTTTTATTCTTATTATAGGATTAAAGGCCTCTTTTGAATGGCCTGGGGTTTATTTTACTATGATGCATCTTACCTGAAATATTTCGAACCCATATATATCAAGCACTCCCATGGACTTCCTTTTCGTTCTGGACTGGACCCTTATGCTGTCATTGATCCTATGGACCAACCAGGCAAACAACCGACTGTATATGGCTTTACATAGAGCATCTCTGGCATATGTGGCCTGAAAGATAGAACAACTGATTGTATATGGCTTTACATAGAGCATCTCTGGCATATGTGGCCTGAAAGATAGAACAACTGACTGTATATGGCTTTACATAGAGCATATCTGGCATATGTGGCCTGAAACATAAAATAATTGACTCAATATGGCTTTACATAGAGCATCTCTGGCATATGTGGCCTGAAACATAAAATAATTGACTCAATATGGCTTTACATATGTGGCCTGAAAGGATGTCCTAAATTTTCAATTTTTATCAATTTAAACAATGTTGGTCATCAGGGTGCATATCAGATACATATTCAAAAGTGAATTATGAACCAATTGTACTGAAAACTAACCTAGTCTTGATTGACCCTAACTTACTTCAAGCCTCCAGATCAATCCTAATGATGCCCCATGGCGGCCAATGGCCATGGATGAAACAATATAACATGAACATATTTGGTAGATTAAGATTACAACTTTGCAATAGCATTTAAGGGTACAAATAAGCTTACCTCAGTTGCACTAAGGTCTACGCTGACTTTATCACCAGAGGCTTGTACAGTTTTCTGTGTTAGGGCACTTATGAGCAATTCAGACTGAGTCTGCAGTAGATCACAAACATCGTAGATTTCTGCAGCAAAACAATGAACAAACAATCAATTCACAAACAACTAAACAATATAATCAATCAATTTTCAAAATTATGAAATATATTTTTATTTTCCACAATATGCAATTTATTTCAATAAAATAATCATGTTATTTTACAAGTAATTTTTTATCTTTTATTATTACATGAGATCAAAAATTAAACAGAACAAAAATGAAGTTTAAAAATCTACCTATCTACAAACAGGATATCTTATATAGTGTATTCATGCAAAACATAATATCAACTGACACTTCAATTCCACCACCACATTTATAATAAAAAAAATTTGTGTTTGTTTATATACTTCACACATGCTTTAGTTAGAGGTCGGCTCAGGATTTCACATCTTATTCTACATATAATCCATTTTGTTGACTGCTAAATTTTCCATTCTTTATTTTTAAAGATAAAATATGGGTAGAGCATTCCAGACAAGCAATTACATTAAGTATATGATTTAGTTCAAAGCATTGTAGAAGACTTTAAATTATGCGCTTTATGTGCCAGTTCACATTTCTTTTCCACAGCAATATAAGACATATTCTGAATCAGCTGGACCAATGTACATGTACTCAAGGAAAAAATTACAAAATTACTCAACCCTCCCTATTTGGATTATAGTTATTAACTTAATTTATTTGATTCATTTACTCAAACAACTATATAAATAATAAAAATATAATTACTATGGAAGCAAATGACATATACATAAACCATAAGGGATGGTTCATAAAGGTTTTTAAAAAGCACAACATATTGTTATGGTACACCTGTGAAGCAAAACAAATAGAGAAATACATATCTATTGGTTTTATTAACTATTAGGTGTGGTAGCTTGCAGATCTCAAATAGCTGGGATAGGCCTTATCTAGAAATTGTTAGACTGTTATTCATGTTGTTACATTCTACATGGAAATCTAATGTTATGGAAGGTAGGTAAAGGGAGACACAAAAATCATACCCCTTTAATTTTGAAACAAAAGAAGGCTACTTTTTTGTGTCACCCTGTATTTTACAATATAAAATAGGGAGAATTAAGAGACACAGAAAGTTAATGCTGTACACATACAGAGCAATCTTAACACTTAGCTAAACTAAATACAAAAATATTACATGGCATTATATTATTTAAGGCAATAGCTTAACACTACATGTTCATCACCGTCATACCATTAACAAACAAGCGGCAATGTTAATACAAACAATGACATTCAGTATTGCAGAATGACACCAAGCAATGCACAATGACATCACACAATACATGACATCAAATTTACTCCACAAGTGCAATATGGGTGTAGGGTATTATCACAATAAGCAGTTGCGTTATGTACTGTATCTAAATAAAGCATACATGGCTACTGTAACTATGGCTACCGTAACTATGGTTACCTTTAGCTGCAGTCTGTTGGCCGCCTGCTCAAAGAAACAAGGCCAGCAAATCATATTAACTCACTATACTAGGGGAAGACTCAAATCAACTCAGTAACACATCACTCATATGAACTCTCTAGGGGGTCACTCATATCAACTTAATGTGGTCACTTATTTCAGTTGGAGTCACTCATAAACTCAATCATATCAACTCACTCATGGGTCACTCATATTATATTAACTTGTAAAAGGAGAGCACTAAGGGGGTTACTTATATCAACTCACTAGAGGATGGGGGGTTACTCATATCAACTCACTCATGGGTCACTCATATTATATTAACTTGTAAAAGGGGAGCACTAAGGGGGTTACTCATATCAACTCACTAGGGGATGGGGGGTTACTCATATCAACTCAGTATCAGGTTACACTCTTAGGATACTTTCAAATAAAAAATTAATACATTCATACAAACATAATATTATGGGTAACTGGTCAGCCTATTTTTCATATTTTACATGCTTAACAAATATATTTCCCATCCCGACTTTATAGTAACTGAAAGTGTTTGTCATGCCTTACTCAAGTCTCAAGAATATTTAATATATTATTGAGGTGAATATATTGAGGATTTCCACCCTTGTCCTGGACCCAAAACAAAGACAATATCCTAGGATACACTAGAATATCCCACTATTAGTTGAGAATAGAATAATCAGAGTGTAATAATAAATACCCCAGCTATACAAGTATAAGAGGAAACCATTTCCATGGGGTTAAAATAAATATATATTTTCAATGCATTTCAATAAATTTTATATTGCTTCATTTCAAATTCTTTATGGCATATATCACTCCTCCAGGTTTTATGTAAATCTGTGAGTGAAAAAGGCTATGTGAATTTTGTGTGTGCATTTTGCAATAGTTGCAGTTTTAGATAAAAAAAATTAGGCATATTGACAAATATATTATAAGTCTGATTCATTCAATCATAGAAGCACTGTTATTTGGCAAATAAAACAACAGACAAGGCAATAACTTGACAAAATGTCACCACCTAGTTGAAGCAACTTAAAGAAATACGAATCTAGTTTGACCTTGAGAATGTCATAGAAGGTCAAATCTATAGTCCGATTTGAACTGTTGAGAACTTGTAGATTATTTTGAAAAAAAAATTGGGCAATTTGAAGCAAGTTGAAAAATACCATTTTGAAATTCTTTACCTTGAAAAGGTCATTGAAGGTCAAGTCTCACATCTTAAGTCAGATTTGAACTTTCAATAACTTATTGATGATTTTGAAAAAAATATTGGTCAATTTGAAGCAAGTTGAAAAACCTTTTTTGACCTTGTAAAGGTCATTGAAGGTCAAATCTTAAATATAAAGTCAGATTTGAACTTCTGAAAACATAATATAGACGATTTTTGAAACATTGAAATCAGTCTTTACAGTAGTTGCATGTTAATTTATTGGAAGTTGTAAGAATTTGTTACAGACACCGACCGAAACAATGTCACCACTTTTCGATGGTGACATAAAAAGCTATTATTTTTTGTTTTACACTTGGCAAAATCCTACCAGAAATTGAGCTGCCAAAACTATCTAATTACAGAGGTAAGGCTGACTATTCATGATAATTTTCCCAGAAAATTGTCAAAATTTAAGATTCTGCAAATGTGTGTACAAAAGCGAATTCTATGTGGGTTCTGCAGAAATTGAAAACTGGGAGGAGTGATATAAAAAGACTAAAATGCAATAAAAAACCTATTGGAGATCAAAATGTTATTATCTTTATACAGGATGTCCCAAAAGTTAGAAAGATCACATATTTTCTACCTGACATTATGGCTGTAAAATAAAACACACACAACTATAAAAATAAGCCAGCAAAATCGTCAAACTAACATGCATGGACCATTGGCCATGCTTTAAGTAATCAAATTCAAAAATAAATTCAGAGTAGTACAAAAATAGTTGCTACATTTATGAAATTCTATAGACTAACATAATTCTATAATAAGTATGTATGAAACCATGCATTTATGAGGAAACATTAATTCAGAAAATAAAATGATGTCAAAAATGACATCACATATGACATCACACTTACCATGGTCATTATGTATTCGGCAACCATCAGTGCCATCTATGTTACTGTGGTGGATAAACTGAGCATTTCCTAGTTTCAAGACTGAGGCCACAAGTTGCCACACGCTATGGACCTCTTGCTTGGTGAAACCTATCACTTCCATAGCACGCTGAATCATAAAATAAATATTTTTGGTATCATCTTTTATCTTTATTATTACTTTTAATGAAACATTTTCCATTCAGGTAGCTTCAATAAAAGTTGAATAAACAGGGAGCAGATATAAAAAACTCCAAATTTTGGGTCTTCACTAAAATTCTATTAAATCTCTACAGTGTGAATGCTTGAAGTGATATTCTTGAAATAATATGCAATTTATAATTGTAGTGACTAAAATCCCTGCAACGTTTGTAACTTAGTGTCAATTTCATCAGTCTTCTTACCTTAGTTATGTGAAAGTCCTGTTTGTCGTCTATAGTGTCTACATATATACAACCCCCATGTTGGAGGAACTGGTAGTACTCAGGGTTCCTTGCCAGTTTGAGAGATTCTGAAACAGAAAGCAACCAGACAATAAGAATATATCTATAATAGTAATATGTATCTAAATTTTGTTTATGTTAATGGACTATCCCACCGGCATTGAATTTGTATTTTACAATGAGAGTAAAAATCCTTCAACTCATTTACGCTGATTTACAAATTTTTAGCTTAACTTGCCCGGGAGCGTTTTTGTCCAGTATCAATTTTTGAATAAATGACACAGTTAAAGGTGATAAATCTACAAAATATATAACAAATTCTTGAATAATAAATACCATGATAATATTATACTTTTAGTGATGCAATTATGACAACTTACTTAATAAATTAGTATCAGCACCATGCAGTAGTTGGTAGAATATATGGAAATTTCTCTCCCCTTTTGACTGCAGAACTACCCGCGACTGAAAATCAAAATTAAATATGTTACATAAAACACTACAAAGTAATTACCTCATGATCCCAATGTACTCAAGTGTTAGTTGTACATCTAATTAACTATTGCACAAAAAGTTATAAAATAATGCAGAAGCAAGAAGTGTTGTGAACATTTTGATGAAAACATGTTTTTGAATTAGCTCATATGACTGAATATTTTATAAAGTAATCAGAACAAATGTTTAGCAATAAATGTCTCCTACCTTTTCCAGCAGATCTGTAGAATTGGAGATATGAAAAAGAAATTGTTTTGAATCAATAATTATTGAAAGATAATTTGAGAACATCTTTTGTGAACACTTTTTCAGATTTAAGCTTTGAAAATATACAAATTCACAAAAGATAGTTTGGATGCAAATTGTTACAAAGTCTTTAATCAGTATTCAAATGTTACAAATAAGCAGTCTGTTATAAAATAACCTTTATTTTTCAAAGAATGCTGAATCCTCAATGTACATGTACTATATTTCCACAAAAATGCTACTGGAGTATGGTAATTTACTTTACTTACAGTTAGTTATAACACCTCCTACTGGATCTCCTTTGAAATCAAACTCTATATCCATGTATTTCCCCTGCAAAATGTAAATATTCATGTATTTCCCCTGCAAAATATAAATATCCATGTACATGTATTTACCCTGCAAAATGTAAATATTCATGTTTTTCCCCTGCAAAATATAAATATCCATGTGAAAGCAAGTTACTCAAAAGGGCCCGAAAACAAACTCAAGAGATCATATCAAGAGTCTCCACATGTTAAATTGCAGCAATCATAATTTAGTGATAACAGGATTCAGTTGCATGCATTAGAAATATAAATCATCTTTAATCCGCAGAAGAATGATAAGAAGTGATCTAAAACAATAATAAATGTTATAATAATACAGTTGCATCCTGGTTTACTATCATCATAAATTCTTATCAATAGTACAATCAAAATTGCAAGATGATGGCAATGGATAGTGCTACTGGCAATGGAAGACCATTCGAGAAAATGTCTGTCAAAGAGTTCTCATAAAGTCAAACATTGATCTCGCTGGCTGGTGACCATTAACTATCCATGCATTAATATGACAACCTTGACATTCAATTATATTGAGGACTGGTATTGAGGAAAAACTTTTTCTATACATTTATAAAAGATTATTATATAACATTTTGAAGCTGGTATCTTTAATGTGTACATCATAATGTGACTAAAGATTTCCTGTCTCTTGCAGGTCATAAAAAATAAGCCCCAACAAAATATCATTTCAATTAAAAACTCTTATCTGGCCTTGTGTAATAGATCTGCCTCAATACACAACACTATCTGACAATCCAAATCTTTTATCTAAATACATAGAATAATTTAAACGTAAAAACGACACACCATATAATATATGAATCAATTTATGATGCCAATGTAATGCCACAAACGGACTTCAGTCATGATTCAATGAAGATAGCCTATCTTCAGATCTATTAATAGACACATATGTCATATATGGCAGATTTCTGCAAACATATTCCTCCATCTAGACCAATGCATCACAGTAATCATTTTTGCCATAAATGAAATTATGCCAAGTTTTTTATATTTGCCTTCAGGCTAGGATTTAAGGTCTATAAAAAGGTTACAATGGTCTAAGCTCTCACAGATAATATAATACCAGAAATACTGAACTTCTGGGTTTGCTTCAGTTTTAGAGTGCAAATAGATAATAAAAATGAAGATTCACTTACAAATCTGGATGAGTTGTCATTCTTGTTAGTCTTGGCATTTCCGAATGCTGGAAATATAAAGAGCACGCTAAAACATATTATATTGTATTCTATAGTCCAAAATGAATACATACATACAGTTTAGATGCATAAACAACGCACATAATATTTCATCTAAAAATCAAAATATGGCCACCTTAAAGATTACCACGATTGCCCAAAAATTATTCAGTTTTAAATTTCCAGATCAAGAAACATTCCTGAAAATTTCAAACCTACTTCTCATAACTTGTAGATGATTTTGAAAATAAACATTGGTTGAAAAATACCTTTTTTGACCATGAGAAGGTCAATGGTCAAATCTCAAATCTAAAGTCAGATTTGAACTTCTGAAAACTTGTTGATGATTTTGAAAAAATATTTGGTCCATTGAAAAGTTGAAAAAAGATTTTCTTGACCTTTTTTCCTTTTTTAACTTTTTTTACCTTGAAAACTTCACTGAAGGTCAAATCTTAAATATAGAGTCATATATAGAGTCAGATTTGAACTTCTGAAAACTTGTAGATAATTTTGAAAAAAAACTGAAGTGAGTTTAAACAGTATTTGTTAAGTTATTAGAAGTTTTAACAATTCGTTACAGCTGCCAACCACCAACCACCGTCAAGAAAAAACGGAGACCATAACAATATGTCACCACTTTTTGGTGGTGACATAAAAACTATATCCAGAAAAATTATACATAATGAGGATGAACCACTTTTTAGATAGATTGGTTACTTTGTTTCGTGGACACCATGTTTCAAACTAAATAGCAGAAGAGACCAACCAAAGTCTCAATACAATTCCAAAAGAACCTTGATCTTAGATTATATTGATGAAATCAGTTTCAATATCAAGGCTTATGTTCTTTAAAGAACTGACTGACACTACAACAGGATTTATCAGATTGCCATTCACTATTCATTGACATGTCAGAGTTTTATCAATGTGGAACTAAAGTAATTCAATTCATTTTCTATAAATAGTTCATTTCCTTCAAAGAAATAAACTATCTAAAATAAAGTGTTCACTCCAGAATTTACATCGTTGGCATCTTTGGCATGTAGCAACCTATTATTAGTAAAATATAATGTGTAATGTCATTGCAAAGCCAATAGGCCTAACTAAGTTTTGGGTGCCGGAGAAGGATTGAGGGAAGAGGTCTAATCCTTTGTTGAATTCCTTATGTGAAAAAATAAAACATGGCACAGGGTAAACAATATCATAACAACAAAAATGGTCAAAAATCTATTCAGCCTGTCCAATGACAAAAACATTTATATTTTGATGTGAACTCTAAAATGGAATAATCTCTAATATTTAATTGGTAGTACTGTAACCAGATGTCATTTAATGGGATCAGGATGGATACAGACAGGAGCATATTTTTTCAAAGCCCACATGACCTGATAAGCCATGATTAGAAACTGACAAGATAAAATTCAAACCAATCGTAGCCATACAAAATTGTTCAATTAGAAGTGACAGTCATTTCCTGGCTTAACCCATGGACTCCAGACAAACTATGGGTTTAATAACAGATTTAAGGTGCATTGACACATCTTTTCCGCTTTAACAAGCCATAAAATACATTGATAGATGATAATCGGGGCACTGACCAGTCCTCAACTTACAATGACCATTTAAGACCAAGCATTGAGCTGATAATAACATGGACTTAATTCACATAGCACTTGTCAAGTAACTATTATACTGACCAGCAAACTCACAATATCATGGGGACTGGATAGTGCCCGTGATAATGGTCCTGATAAGGTGGAGGGGGGTAGTGGGTAAACAATACTCTACCTTCTAAGACAGGATTTGACTGCAGCAACTGTTCCTTTACTCTATCAATATCCTGTCCCTTCCCAGATACAGCTGCTACATACTGCATTATCACCTTACTGGCCTCTAAAATAAAAATAAACAGATATTATAATAAAATAACGTTCAAACAAATCTGTATATTTGTAAACTTAAGATGCGGGAATGATGCAGTCACTTGAAAATTGTGTATATGTCTTAATTAGGTAAAGTAAGTAACTGTCTTAATTAGAAAATAATTATTTCAGTTTAATCAAAAAATATTTAATTTCTCGTAATCCGCCTTACCTAGCCATTTATTCATTAGGCTTTATGGATTTCACACAAATTATTGGTACTTCAACACTAATTTTCATAACATAAATCCAGAGAAGATGTTCTAAGTGTCACTGCGCCATTTGCAGTCACCAAAATTTATCATAAAAGCATTGATACTTTTATATAAAAGTATTAAAGTTGACCCAGAGGGATGCTTTTATATCTTTTGAATAATGATGTCTGAATAAACTAACCACCAAGAGTATAAGGCTTTTATATTGTCACTTATAAAAATGAGTGGATGAGGCCGCAATGTTCAAATTTTTGTTTAACAATACATTTTTTGTTTGTTTAAGGGATGAGGATTAAAGCCTTTTATTGTTTGATCTTATAATTACATTCTTATTTACCTGATTAAGTACAATCACTTATATAGATATACAGATAAAGTTATGTATTTTCCATAAATGTAATGTAGAAGATTCGCCAACCCTATTACAAATGAAATGCACTTTCAGCAAAAAGTAGAAACATTGATTACAGAAAATGTCATTTCAACATATAATTTTGACAAAATATTTTAATTATGATGTGTATTCTATATTCGAACAAGTCTGTATTCACGCCTTCTATAAACAAAGTCAATATTCACCCAGTATTTATTTGTCAATACAATACCTGGACATGTTTTGTTCAGTGCACCAGAAGTAGGAAATGAAGTGACAATCTAGCAAAATTTTGGTGAGTTTTCATGGTTGAATCATAATATAGAGCTCAGTTCAGGTATTATATCGAGTAATAAATACCTTAGGGCTAGGCACAAAAGCTTTTGACCAAAAAACTTTTGCGCCTGGCCCAGCGGTATTTATTCATCAATATAATACCTGCTCTCATGTTTATATTGCTTAAATGAAGTGCAAACATCTACATAAAAGAAAAATATTTCTCATTTCATTATATTAGTAAAAAGTCATGAAAATTCTATGAAAGAACCCATCATCTACCTTAACAAGGACATCTACTGAAAGCCTATTACATAGCACTAACTATTTTAGCAAGGATATCTACTGACCTGTCTTTCCTGAGCCACTCTCCCCTGAGATGATGATGCACTGGTCATTGTTCTTGTCTCGCATAGACCTGTAAGCATCATCTGCTATGGCATAGCTGCAATGGCAAATACAAGAGATTAGAACACATTATGACTGGCCATTGTTCTTGTCTCGCATAGACCTGTAAGCATCATCTGCTATGGCATAGCTACAATGGCAAATACAAGAGATTAGAACACATTATGACTGGCCATTGTTCTTGTCTCGCATAGACCTGTAAGCATCATCTGCTATGGCATAGCTGCAATGGCAAATACAAGAGATTAGAACACATTATGACTGGCCATTGTTCTTGTGTCGCATAGACCTGTAAGCATCATCTGCTATGGCATAGCTGCAATGGCAAATACAAGAGATTAGAACACATTATGACTGGCCATTGTTCTTGTGTCGCATAGACCTGTAAGCATCATCTGCTATGGCATAGCTGCAATGGCAAATACAAGAGATTAGAACACATTATGACTGGTCATTGTTCTTGTCTCGCATAGACCTGTAAGCATCATCTGCTATGGCATAGCTGCAATGGCAAATACAAGAGATTAGAACACATGATGCACTGGTCATTGTTCTTGTCTCGCATTGACCTGTAAGCATCATCTGCTATGGCATAGCTGCAATGGCAAATACAAGAGATTAGAACACATTATGACTGGTCATTGTTCTTGTCTCGCATTGACCTGTAAGCATCATCTGCTATGGCATAGCTACAATGGCAAATACAAGAGATTAGAACACATTATGACTGGTCATTGTTCTTGTCTCGCATTGACCTGTAAGCATCATCTGCTATGGCATAGCTACAATGGCAAATACAAGTGGGTTTCATTTAGATATCATAATGCTCTGATACAGAACAATTTGATAATGATGATTACATTATGAAGACACATAATAACTAGAGGTGTCACAGATACCTGATCCGTGGAATTACACTCTCGGAACGGAACACGGAACAAAAATTAAGCATTTCGGTTTAATTACGTAACAAGAAAATCTTACCCTTTCACAGCTTGTGCCCACAAAACAGTATTTTTCTTTCAATATTTTGCATTCATTCTTTTCACGCCTTCTTATTGAAGAGTTTTGAAGAGCTTTTCGCTACCAAATAGACCTAGACGATCAACTTATTTTAAACTAATAAGTGCAGTCACTCTGTTCCGAACCATTCCGAAATTGTTCTGTTTTGAAGCATAATGTTCCGAACTGTTCCGCTGGATTTTTTTTGTTCTGTGACATCTCTAATAATAACCATATGGGGAAAAATACTAACAATATTACTCGTTCATTGTTGTATTCTTAATGGTTTCATCTAAGCAGCTCCAAAACATAATGTTTATATTTTGTAAAAATGGCCCCCAGGACTGTGCCTGAAGACAATGTGCCAATTCACTAACTCTGCTAATTTACCAGAACCATATCAAAAGTGCTCTTAACCAGGCTCTAGCTCCTATCAGATAGGTAAAGAAAAGAGGCTGAGTGACTTCTCTCCTGTGGGTGATAGCAAGACGAGGTAACCAAAATAGTTCATAATAACCTCAATTAACATCCTCAAATTTACTACAGAGAATTTGCAGAAGTATCTCTTGAATTAATAAGAATTTATAAAGTCTCTCAGGCCTAGCTAGTTAATTAGTGAAATAATAATGATAAGATGCAGAGACAGACTTTCAACAAACAACTTGATGATTTTAACATCTTTCTAATATGACATTTCTAGGTCAGACCAAGAACAGGAAACCCTTAGAACTTCTCTCATTTACATAACCTTCAAATTCTGCAAAATAGGTTGGTTTCAAAACAGTCTGTTAAGGACATCCTCGCTTGTTTAGGTTGTAGGAAAGTTAGACTCAGGCACGAAGTTGAACATTGAGAAGTAATACAGAGAATGGAAATCGCATTAATTCAAGATCAACCTGTAAAAGATAAAATAGTTTTTTTTAGGTGAAACTGCAACATGAAGATTTTGTGTCCTTAGATTCCATTCCTCAGGTTATTAGCCTTTACTGAGAACATGTCCAAGGATATGCCCAACAAGTTGTATTTTATGTACTGCAGATTGACATACTGCAGAGGCGAATCTGGAAATTGGCAAGAAAGGGGGAGGGCTATTTTGGGGTCCTAAATCCCAAATTAGGGACAGGCCAATTCAGCCAGTGCTCTGAATTGCTAAATTGGTTGGTTTGTAACTGAAACACTTGTTAACCTCAAACTGATTTATTCTATGACGGGTTGGAATAAACCAAGTCAAAAATCAGCTAGATCAGAAAGGCAATATAGACAATATTACACTAAAAATGCAACCATTCTGTTATCTTGTAACCGCCACAAATCACAATCATCAATTCTACATGAGAGCCAGGAGAGAGTAAAGGAAGCTGTTATTGTTAAAGGGTGTTAACTAGATGCTACACATTCCTGTGAGAGAAATCTTTATTGAAGTATATGTGATAAAATTCTCAGTGTAAAAGATAACACCTCCAGAGCCAGTCTGTGGCCACCTCCTTGGAATTCATCCCTAATCTGACTAACTGGGTGTCCATTCCTCACACTACTGACCAAGCCTGTGTGATTTACATCTGATTTACATCATCTTTACTATTCATTCCTCAGCTACTCAGAGAAAGTACAGCAAGCAATCTTAAGATATGCCAATACTGTATATAAGTGGTGCATTGATGAGGTACTGACAAGATGAAAGGTTATCTCTGCAGGAGTGAAAGGGTTGGGCCACTCAGTGCTAGAATCAGCTGCTAGCTCTGAAGTCAATGAACCAACCAATGGCCATGCTGTTTCAACATGTGCCAAGGATACTTTGGGCCTCAGACAAACATATATAAGTTAGTGATTGCAAAAGCTCACCATATGGGAGCAAATAAGCTGATGATCATTGCCACAAACATGATTGCTCATCAAATCTTTCTGTTTCTAATGAGCAATATGTTTCTGAAGAAAACAACTGAGAGAATATTGAATTCCCAGGATGATATCATAAAACAAGGGACTAAAGTCTCTGGTGATCAGATCATCAATCTGAATATCATTATTACACAGGGTGAATTGCCTCCTCTTCTGGTGGATGACATCTTATTAGACCTCAAGTACATACCAGTTAGTGAGCCTGACACTGAGACCAAAATCAAACCAGATGATGCATATCTAGAAAATTTGAAATACATATATACCGTACATGTACTGTACCTGTACTGTACCTGTACTCGCTCATAATATAATGTTTATATTTTCCGTGATACAAAGACTTTATCCCAACAGGGGCTAAAATGGGGGCTGTGGAGTTATCAGTTTAGAGCAACCTTCATATTCACTTCATGTAATATAACTACTGCAGTCTAGAGAGGGAAGTTATGTCTTCGAAGGTCAAACATTTTGTTCTTACAGTATCTCCGATGAGCTACTAAAAGCAGTAAAACAGTAGGCCGATAATTGGAGAGAAGATGATATCAGGCCAGGGAAGCTATCCTTATAATAATGCAGAGAGCAATTTAGTGCAATTGAAACCTCTAACCAAACTCAGCTGTTTGTCTAAATGTTGGAATTCAACAAAATGGAATCACTCTAACCAATTAAGCATGTCTGGGGTAAGATAATACAGACACTCTATTGACAGATTCTTTCTTTTTGCCATCTTCATTCAGCCTTCGTGAATGTAGTGAAGACTTAATGTGCAAAGATGTCTTTTTGCTGCAGTTATATGCAATACACCAATCATGTGCCAATGCATCTATTGTTAAGTTGTGTATGTAGCTTTCTAATTATTCTTGCACTTTTCATTTATTATTGATCTTACAGGTCATGACCATTTATGTTTTTATGGTCATGTCTAGATCAGTGCAATCAAGTGAGTACATGTTTTATTATACTTGCTCATCATTTGAAGTTACATGATTTGATCTGTTTTTCTGAGCAGTCACTGTATAAAGATGAAAAGGATGTGGCCAAAGGTGTGGTTTATTGTTATATTAATTCAGGTATTCTGCATATATTATCATCATGTCACATCTGAAACCTGTAAAATAGACTAAGAGGTAGAGGCTTCTCCTTCAGGAGGCAAATTTCATTCAAGTAGCAAAGAACCTTTATAGACACAGTCAGCCCTAAGCTTCCTTCGTACCGTGGATACTATACTAACGCAATGAAAAATAAAAGGATGAAAGGATAGAGAAAAGCGTTATTTATTTTCTATCAAGGGAAACATTAATTCCAATTAATAAGCAAGAATCACTAAAATAACATCTGTATTAGTAAGGAAATGATGTTCACCCCAGATCACACTGACATAAGCTATGAGATATGTGTTCAATGCCAGTAACCTCAAATGATTTTATGATTCATTTATATCTAAGTATTTCAGATGGAACTTTTCCAGCCGTATAGTGAGAAATTGTTTATATATCTAGACCTTCAAATGGGATTTTCAGCAATCTTAGATTTGACTTTTTTCAAATATTCTTTATTTTTTCACAAAGATAAGATATCATGATTTGACTTGAGCCTCAGATAAAAACTAAGGATACGTATGTTCTTGATTAATTAATTAGTTCATCAAAGTTTTTGGCCAATATTTCCAAATCCAAATTTTGTCTAGATATCGCAATAAAGTACCTCATTATTTAGACAAGACTGCAAAAATAACTATTATGTCAATGATATTTTAAAAGCCACATCTTAATGTATTACAAATATCATATATACAACATTTACCAAACATTTAACATCAATAGAAAAGGCTGTCTTGGTAACATAGTATGCAATGCCATGCACTTTCCTGCTACTTAACATGGATGTCTCATTCTCATTTCAACCAGTATGTCAATGCAACACTTATTAATTTATATAACACAAGGGATATTTTGCAATTAAAATATACATCTGCCAAAGGACCCATAATCTGAGATTCAGAATTAAGTGAAACCAAATAAGAAATGAGCTTAAACCTAATTGACTTCGAACATGTTGCACAAAACACACATACATTTTCAACAGAGTACATATATGTAGTTAATGGACAATCTTGTGCCTGGGAGATCACTGATTTTGGTTGTGAATTCTTTCCCAATCATACACAATATTATCTGAGAAATCAGTATTACTAGTGATATGATGAGCCGCAATTCTACCATTCAGCCAAGAAATAGCCCCACAGGAATACTTGAAATTAATCAGGAACCTCTAACATGATATCTAATTCTCAACACATCACAAGCTGATGATATATTGATGCATGATAGACATAATAATAACAGTATATGTACAAAACAAGGAATTGGTGTCTGGAGAAAGCCCAATGGAAAATATGAGAATTAAAAATCAAGAACAGAATTATTTATCAATTTAAGGATAATATTTAAGAGTTGCATAATTCAGAGTGCCCCTAAAATATGACGGTATTAACCTAAGTTTTAAGTTTCTGATATATAATGCTGATATCATCTTAATACAAGAAAGTATGGAATAGAAAAAGGTTTTGAATTATTTCTCCATTGTAGAATACATCAGGTGATAACATATATCAGAAACATGTAATACTCGTTAAAAATATCTTTATTTAATACATTTCCAGGATTTATGCAAGAATGACAAATAAAATTCAATTTTAACAGTCAAACAATATAAAAATTATTTTTCAGGTCACGCAGTACCAAAATGGACTCTATACACATGCAAGACACTTGTAGATTGGAAAGAGTGCAGAAAAGCAACACTAACATCAATGATCAATGATATATACCATGATACATGGCCACATCTGAAGCATCTTGCTGAAAAACAAACTGAGCCTTTGATCTCTATAATTGCAAAGGTGAGGCAGGGGTCTAAAATATATGGTAGGGTATCATTAAAATGTTATCAGATTGAGATATGACCTGAGTTATACCTGATATTTTACATGGTGAAGACTGGCACTGTCAAATATAAGAAAAGAAATGATACAGTTAAGTTTAGAATAGAAACACCTTAGTAAATAAACAAGACACACTTCCATCCTTCCCTGGCCAAAAATTATTTCAAATCATGCAGTTTTTTACCATTCTGAGCACTTTTCAAGTGATTTTGACCCTTTTTGGGCCAAAGTAGTCAATAGTGAACAAACATCCCCCAAAAATACATACACGAAAATATGCATTAAAACACAAGATTATGACATGAATAGCTCATTTAGTACTTCTACATCGTAATCTGCAATTTAACAACACGCGTCATACAACTAAAGTAAGTTAATGTGTTGAACAGGAAATGGCAGTATCATCTCTAGCGAATATAGCACATACTTAGGTTGCCCTAAGCTTAATAAATGCTAACAAAGCCAATGGAGTCTATCCTAACTTGATTAAATCCAATGTGACTTGAATATCAACATTTCAATTTGCGAATATACTTGCCTAATAGCAATACAACACTGAACTAAAGAAAACTATGCCAATCTAATAACATCTTGAAAATTCAAGGTACTAGTATTAGTTGGAAAATGACACCGGAAAGTGAGCACATTCGCATCAGGGAGACTGGTAAAGCAAATGCGCACTGAGAAATCCACATATGATTTTAAAGTCACAAATTATCAGGAGGAAATATGTGACATATTTCACTCTAACATAATCATTCTTCTGTCTTGCAAGTAAAAAGAAGACCTATAAAGACATTTAGAGTTCTCATGAAATAATTCAAATATCTTTAAGACCCTGAACCGACCAAACTACCAAAGACCTAGCTAACATTTCTCCGAAATATCAATATACTACACAAAGTACACATACTTGAGATATCCAAACCCTAGATATCATTGCATCATAACCTTAGATTACCTCAAGTTAAATTAATTCATTTTGACTGTTATTAATAAATATTAATATAACATAAGACTCAACTAACTCATTCTTGACCTTCCATTTCTTAGAATTCTCTTATGTGTCAAGAATACTTCAAACATGATTAAGCGTTCATTCACATAAGAACTGATTCTATACCATTGATCTTTCCAATATCAATATCATTTAGGCTCGATCACGTCATACGATAACACTTCGATAGTAGAGTCCAATATGCTCTGAGGAGCATTTTAACATTTTATCGGGGTCAGTCCAAGGAGGATTGCCTTCCAGGATCGAAACTCGATATTTTCCAACAATGAAAACGTTGAAATGTTAATATTTTCTGAAATTATATCGACTATAGATTCAAGATTCGAACCAATATCTCAATCATTTCTTGTGAGTTTTGGAATTTTTCGTTTGGGAATAAGACCAAAAAATGACCATTCAAATGTTGAAGTGAACAAAATGGTGGCTGTTTGAATTCAAATTTTGTATCACGACATGCTCATATATGGGACAGAAAATTCGATATTGCTCTCTGGGAGCCAATCCTCCTTGGGGTCAGTCAATATATTGCAAACTTCTAAGTATGTTAAATAATATATTCGTTGAAGGACGTTATCTATTTTACAAAGAGAGGTCCAAGATTATTTTATTCTGGTCTTGCTAAGATTATATTTACAGCTGATGAGCAGGCGTGTAATACATCAATGAAACCCAAGACAATATCATCAAAACAAACTCAAAGATTTTGAGACATATGATTAATAATACACTAAAACCTGTATGTCTGAAGACCTTTCTCATATGAACACATCTTACTATGAACATATTTTGCAATTCTGAACACTTTTGGCCAGTGCCAGCTGCATTAGAATTACCCATTTTACAGTAATTATAATGAAGATCCCCTTAATATGAGACTTGACATTTGGAGATGTTTAGTGTATTGAAGTACTTACATATGTGGGGGCAGCTCATATATGTTCCTACTCCTATACTCAAAGATGACATCGCGGGTATAGAGAGGTATCTTCTTATATGGGTTCACTGACACAACCACATTCCCAATGTATGTCTGCAACAAGAATAAACAAACATTTAGCATTCATGTAATTTTTGTATCAAAAGTCTTATCTTTCACCTTACATCTCCCCTTATTCCCTACATATCCCTCTATCCCCTTCATCTCTCTTTATTCAGTATATCTCCCTCTATTCTATACATCTCCCTTTGTTCCCTACATCTCCCTCTATCCCCTTCATCTCTCTTTATTCAGTACATCTCCCTCTATTCTATACATCTCCCTTTATTCCCTACATCTCCCTCTATCCCCTTCATCTCTCTTTATTCACTACATCTCCCTCTATTCTATACATCTCCTCTATTCCCTACATCTCCTAATTATCCCCTTCATCTCTCTTTATTCAGTATATCTCCCTCTATTCTATACATCTCCCTTTGTTCCCTACATCTCCTAATTATCCCCTTCATCTCTCTTTATTCAGTACATCTCCCTCTATCCCCTTCATCTCTCTTTATTCTATACATCTCCTCTATTCCCTACATCTCTCCTTCTCCCTATATTCTTCACGCTCAATTTGACAAGAAAAGACAATAAGACCATAAGGACTTGACAAGTAATTTAAAGGTTTGTAATTATAGTCACAACTGTCAGCCATCACTCTATTTATGGCGAATTATGATTAATCAAAAAAAGTTTTTTTGATTGTGCGTTTGCAAATTAAATGCAGTGATCCGGAATTAAACAATGAAGATTATGTAGCTGAAGAGACAAACGCATGCAATTTATCCCCATGAGGATAAAATAGAATACCTCTTTTATCAAAAATATGTCATCATTATATAGGTTTTCATTTCCAAACTAATAGCAAAATCTACGTTGATTTATAGTAAATCTGTAAATCTATCCAGTGGCCATCCGTAACCTAATTATTTTGGCTGAGATCAGCGAGTTATGGCATAAACAACATACCCTTCAAGATAATCTTATTCCAGCTATTTTTAATGAAAAATGTTTTTTAAGATAACATCATTTCTTGGAATGTGACAATCTACGTAACATACGTTTCTACCCCGATTTGCCATTATTTTTCTTTTGCGAAGGCTGAGTTATGGGTAAAATATGGTTCTACAGCAGAATAATATTCCCCATCTAGTTCAATTGATTTTCCATCCTCTTAGATGTATTTGTTCCACATAATTGAACATAATTGACCCTATAACTTTCCAGAGAGTGCTGAATAAATGACAGTATTAGACTCTAATGTGAGAAAAGTTAACTTCTGCTGGCACATCACATGACAGCTAGAGACTAAACATTGATTTTATGTTGAATAGCTTCCAATTTGAGTAAAATATCATTCATCTTAGCTAGTTGGCTTATGAATCCCATATTGACATGAAATCAAGATGAACTTTAAATCATCAGTCAAAAAATTACAAGTCCTACCATTCTTGATGGTTATCTAATTCATAGAGTAAAATTTTATCAATGTTGAAGATTCATTTATGATCAGAAAGATGTTTTTCTGAGTGTTTGTACTTTGATGTTTTCGAAGTATAAGCCATCCATCACACCAATCAGATTTATTAATCTATAAAATACAATTGACAAATAAAAAACAGAGAATCGAATAAATAAAAGGGAAAGCATGTTCTGTTGAATTCTGCCACCATTTTTGCTTGTTATACAACCACTGTAGTGGCACTTCAAAAACATTGAGGATGAAACGTACAATTCAGAGACAAGGCAGGGATTCAGGTCGAATGTTTTCCTTGAAATAGGTTTACATTAACTTCACTTATTATAGGTTGAGCATAAAGACTGTCAGAACATAATATAAAGAATGTTTCACTTGTTGATCCCTATAAATCTTTGATTTGTACTTTAAACATCGCATCCACAGTAACATCAAATATCAATCAATAAAGCATAACATGTACTAAGAAATCTCATTATTTCTTTTGTAAGCTAACTTCCTCAACATTAGAAAGTTCTATCCCAGGGGCAACCTTTACAAATAATACATGAAACATGGTGTAAGACACAGGATGGGACAAATTAGAGATTGATGTGCTTAGATCAAATATTCCCCAGGGAGGGTGAAAGATCGACTAAAGTACAAAATACCATCATTATAAACATTGCAATGTTTCTAGTGGTACAAGATGTGAGGAGCATTAGAATGACAAATAATTACCTCTGAACAAACAAGACCATTCAGAAGAGTTAACATGAAACAGTTATTGTCCAAATCCTCTGATTTCACCTCAAGAAGTAGACTTTAAGAAGTGCCTCTTCATGTTCCAGAATTGGGTTCATTATTACAAGCCCAGTCGTGCCCAATCCAGAAAGATCCTTTATTAAAAGGGAAATGGAAAGATCCTTTTTTAAACTAGGTAACTAATGGTCGATTTGTGAGGTTTCCTAACTTTTCTCAAGTCAACTTGATTACCCTATAACTTGCAAATGACGTAATTGAATGAGAAATTACCAGATCTCATTCTGACTTGTCAGAGTTGCGATTTTAGGATAAAACAGGCTGAAGATCCCACAATGACCAGCTCCTACTTAAAAAGTTTTGTCTACGTAATGTAATTTACAAGTCAAAATAATATTAAACCATTTAAAATATTATGACTCAACCAGATGTAGAATGCCAAAGTGACATTAGGCTATAAAAATATTATGACACATCAGACCTCTCTCTCATAAAACAATATTTTATAGTATTAAACAGGGCAACATGAACCACCTTCTACAAAGATATAATTGTTATCACGACTCTGTGTAGACTAGCAATGATGATTTTAACATTAAGAAGCTTTTGATGACATTTTATTTCAAATATAAACGCAATGACCTTATTAGCACCAGGTGGTGTTTTTAGTTTTCATTGGTCTATAGGCACAAAAATATACACACGCAAATCATACAAATGCTTTGATCAAAAAACTAAATCTTTCTATGTGTCCTTTTATTTGAAACAGTTAACATGGCATCGACATTCAAAACCACTACAACAAGACTCCAAAATATGCTCAAAAATGGGATAATACTGTATTGTGCTTTAACTTTGAAACATTTGTCTTCAAATTTCCCTCAACTTCTAATGCAAAATACCAAAGTAATACGCACAAAGGATATTTTATGAGTTTTAGGCTCTTTAAGAAAGAAGCCAGATGCAATTGTCCGACACCTTTCAAACAAACATTTATTGCACATGGAAGGGGGAAGATAAGACAAACCACAAATCATTTCCACAATGCACATGGGAAAAACTTCAAAATGAGAAGGTCAAAATGACTCCCTTAATGCCAAAGACCTGCATTCAGAACTAGATCATAAATCGTAATAAGAAAAGTATAAAAATGATTGGATATTAAGATAGTATATCAAAGTTAACTTGCAACTGAAAATTCCTTGAAATGTTAATGGCAATAGTATCATGAAATTTAAACATCTTTATATTACGCTGTTTTATAGAGGCTTTTAGCATAAGACTGCTGTTTACCTAAAGTAGTGAAAAACACATCAGTTGTCTACAACTAATGTTTTAAGGAGATTAAGCCCTAGAAAATGTCTGTTAACTGGTCATATTAACCCGCTCCTAAATGTCTAGTAGTCTTAGATAAATGACTGAAAACCAAGCGTTTGATATTGTAGAACTCCTAAATGACTTTAACTGTTCAAAAATAGGGAGGGCATAATAATGAGACTTGTCATTGATCATCAGATCCTTCTTTGACCCGAGTTGTCACAACTGATCTGATGATCAATGACAAGTCTCATATAACAACTTTTCTCTTGAAAATACTAGTTCAAACAAAATAAATTTGATATTTCACACCAAGCACTAAGCAAAATATCATAAAATTGTCTCTCATTCATTATATTAGACCATATGACAGCTTTAGAGGTAATACTCAAAAATATTGTAGAGAATTGCAATTTATAGTTGACAATATCATGATGTAACCATGACAATGAAGAAGAAAAGAAAATTGATTTTCACGAATCATAAATCACAATATTTCAGCAATAAAGAAATAAAATCTGACGAAATTACAACTCGAAAACCTTACAAAAACCAAATGTTACATACTAATTTGTTTATTTACAGGTTTAGGAGCAGCTTATAAAACAAGAACTGTAGGTTGAAGCATGCCTGTCCAGACTACTGATTTCCCTCAGGTGGAATGTATTCACACCTCAAAGAAATTATGTTTCCTTGAAGTTGAAGACGTTAAGAAATAAAATTATTCAAGTCAACAGCCTCTCTGGAATCTGGTCTCACAGGTGTTTGGTTGTTATATAAGTAGAGTATTTAATATCACAGTTTGGGTATATGCTATTCTGATTAGTCAATTAGAGGTAGATAATTTTTGCCATCTACTTCTGGTAAATAATACAATTAGAAGTATATAATTCACCAGCTCACCACTGATGGGTCTATTTTTGAAATTTTAAAAACTAATTCACATGGTCCATGGTATATTTGCTATAATATAGATACAGATATATTTTCTTTGCAGACCAATATTTCATGACATTTTAAGTCAATAAAAGATATACATGCTAGAAACGGTACAAAACAAAAAATCAAGCATATCAAAGGTTGAAAATTTAAACACACAAATTATTTAAAATGTCAAAGTAGCATAAACTCAAAGGGCATATTCTCTACCTAAGAGGTTAAGTTGCAATTACTTTTTGGAAACACATACCAGTAGCACACCTATATCAGGTGTTGTAAATAAGATAACAAGGTAACATCCTCTCATACAATGACCTGCTACTGAATCATTCATGAGTCATGCGTCAATACCCTATAACCCCCACCCCCTTCTCTCTGACTTAGTCTGCAGTGCTCTCCCCAGGATTCTTTTGTGTGGAGGATTTTGTTATCTTTTTGTGCAACATTGAAGATTTTGTAATTTTTTGTACATCATTTTGGAATTTCCTCATCTTTATTGTAACATTTTAGGAGGCACATAAAATTGCATAGATGAGCATTTTGGTTTTATAAAATACATGGAGGTGCTGCGCCTCAGAGATTTCAATGTGGGGGAGCACTGGTCTGATTAATTGACTGAGAAAAAATAGGGGGTATGCCTGGTGCAAGATTTCTGAATTATATAAGGGTAAGACTAATACTTTAAGAGTAACTTAATTACCTATAAAATGCTTTCATTCATGCTCCATAAGTAGAACCTTCTGGTTCAAAATATATTGCCGATAACCTTTGTTAGATCATATAATAACTAGCAATAATAAAAACAATCTAGCACCAGGACCAGGTCCTACTCACAGCAAAATGTGTACTTCTACCAATTTTTTTAATATATGTATAATGCCAAAGGGTTTATTTGTACTAATCCCCAAGGCCAAATGGATATATGTCCAAACCCCTATTTCTATGCCCCATAAATTAAATGATGGTTCACTGATTACTAATGATTCTCTAAAAAAAATTCTTTGTTCAATATTTTGCCTTCTCCTCAATACTGCTCTTACTAGCCTTGGGGTCTTGGAGTAGCATAGTAGAAGAGTATATGGTCAAGTGTATTTATTATCTGATTGTTGCTTGCAGCTTCGATCAATAAGGAAAATCAATAAAGAAAAAAGAAGCCCTAACTCTTTGTAAATCAATTGATTGATTACCATAACCAAAGATAAGTGTCAAACAGTATGGGAAATGGTCCTAATTTTCATTATGGTTCTAATGCTTGCACAAATGTCATAAAACGTGAAAATAAATAGTAGCCTATGATTGACTAACGTTACATTTTGCTTACAAATCTAAAACGAAATATTTCTCTTCAATCTGCGAAAAAAAGAGAGATATATAATATAAGAAACACACTGCGTGAAACTGGAAAATTTTTGTGTTATAAATCATGCCCGTAGCCAGCTTTTTGTAAGGGAGGGCTCGACCCCCCCCCCCCTTCAGCACCCCCCCCCCCAAGCAAGATAATAGGGGGGGGGGCGGTCTGGGGTTTTCCCCCAGAAAATTTCGAAAATTGAACATTATTTGGTGCATCCTGACCCGAGCAAGAATAGGGGGTTTGTAGGTTCTCCCCATTTTGACCAATTGACGAATAGGGGGGGTATGGGGGTTCTCCCCCAGCAAATTTTGAAAATTGAACATCATTTGGTGCATTCTGAGAAGTTTAAGAGCGAGAATATGGGGTCTGGGGGTTCTTCCCCAAGAAAATTTCGAAAATTGAGCATCATTTGGTGCATTCTTACCAATTTCAGAGCAAGAATAAGGGTCTGTAGGTTCTCCCCATTTTGACTTGAAGAATAGGAGGGTATGGGGGTTCTCCCCCAGAAACTCTCCCAGAGAGTGATTCACTGAAAGATATAGATTGGACTGGTATAATTAATGAAAAGGTTGATGTAAATGTGGCTTATAATTTGTTTGCAGACAAAATTAGTAGAAAATATGATGAATATTTCCCTGTAAAAGTCAAAAATACAAAAATTTACAAGAACTCAATTAAGCCTTGGCTCTCACATGGTATACTAACATCTGTGAAACAGAAAAATAAACTTTATCGAAATACTTTGAAACACCCAACGAAACAGTATCTAGCTGAATACAAAACTTTTCGAAACAAACTCCATAAATTAATCCGCAAAGCAGAAAGGAAATATTTTTGTGATAGATTTACTGAAACAAGCAATAATATCAAGAATACTTGGTCTGTTATAAATGACTTACTTCACCGCAAAAAATGTGATTCAGTTTTTCCAGATAAATTTTATGATGGAGATGATATTTTGACTGATAGAAAAGATATTGCTAATCATTTTAACAGATTTTTTTCTAATGTTGGACCTAAATTAGCATCAAAGATAAGTTCAAAAACGTCCCCTTTTACATTTATGGAAATCAATGAATCTTCTTTAGAACTTACTCCTGTGACTAAGAATGAAATCGAAAATTTAATGTCAGTTTTAAAAGATTGCTCACCAGGCCTAGATGAATTCAAACCAATAGTAGTTAAACATGCAAGAAATAACTTACTTTTACCATTTGTTCATATAGCAAACTTGTCTATCAATACAGGGGTTTTTCCCACTAAGTTGAAAACAGCCAAAGTTATCCCACTTTTTAAAAAAGGAAATACTTCAAAATTTTCAAACTATAGACCTATATCTCTACTTAGTGTCTTTTCTAAACTCTTAGAACAGATCATGAAAAATAGATTAATAACATTTATTGAAACATACAAACTTTTATTCAAAAATCAGTTTGGTTTTAGAAAACATTATTCAACTTATATGGCAATCCTCTCCTTCTTGGAAGAAGTGAGGATATCTCTAGATAAAAGCTCAACTCATGCTATTGGAATATTTTTAGATTTATCCAAAGCCTTCGATACAGTAAACCATGAAATTCTTCTAAAAAAACTTGAAAACTTTGGAATTCGCAATGTCGCAAAAAATTGGTTTGAAAGCTATTTATCTGATAGGAAAATCATTACTTCTTTTAACAACACTCTATCTGAAGAAAATATTATCACTTGTGGTGTACCTCAAGGGTCTGTTTTAGGCCCCATCTTATTCATTCTCTATATAAATGATTTACATAAGGTTTCAAATATTCTTAAATTTACTATTTTCGCAGATGATACAAATATCTTATGTTCAAACAAAGACCTTCATGATCTATATAGAAATGTAAATCTAGAAATGGAAAAGACATTAGAATGGTTCAAATCAAATAAACTTTCTTTGAATATAGACAAGACAAATTATATGCTATTTACAAGATCAAAGTTAAATATTGATGAAAATCAAGATTTTAATATAAAAATAGGGGGTAATATTCTTGAAAGAGTAATGCATACAAATTTTCTGGGAGTAACAATTGATTGTAAATTAAAATGGAATGAGCACATAAATAAGGTTATACATAAAATATCTAAAATTATTGGTATTCTGGGAAAGATTAAATATAAATTGAATACAAAAACCATGATTACCATTTATAATTCACTTATATTATCACAATTGAACTATTGCAACATCATATGGGGTAATGCATGTAAAACCTTTTTGAATAAATTGCTTTTGTTACAAAAACGTGCAGTGAGAATAATCACAAATTCTGACTTTTTAGCACATAGCCCACCTCTTTTTAAACAACTCAATTTTCTAGATATTTTTGACATACATAAGCTTGAAGTTGCAAAATTTCTTTATCAATACACAACAAAACCCGATGGCTTTCCTTTTGACATATTTGAAAATTATTTTACTCCAAATTTGATATTTCACGAACATGAGACAAGATTCCAAAATTGTCTTCACATGAAAAAATTTAGAACAATTATAGGTCAAAACTCAATAAAATATTCAGGTGCTCAGCTTTGGAATAATCTGCCAACTTGTTTGAAAACATTACCTTCCATTAACTGTTTTAAAAAGAATTTTAAAATTCATATGACATCAACCTATGATGAACTGAATTACTGACAAACATATATGTAGATTTTATATATTGTTATCAATTTTATTCTCATTTAACTGAGTAAATATATTTAAATTGTTCTTTTTTTCTCATTTCCATTTGACTCAGGTTAATATTTAAATGTTTTCACGCTGATACACTTACTAAAAGTGTCAAGTGTTATTATGTATTTGATTTTAATTTTAGAGAATAAATATTTTCAATAAAAAAAAAAAAAAAAAAACTGAACATCTTTGGTGCATTCTGACCAATTTCAAAGCGAGAATAGGTGCCAATAGGGGGATCCGGGGGGTTCTCCAATAGCAAATTTCGAAAATTGAACATCATTTGGTGCATTCTGCCTAATTTCAGAGCGAGAATATTAGGTTCTCACCCATCTAGATCCGCTAGTGCCCCCCCTCAGAACCTCCCCCCACTCCACCCACAAATAAATTTAATTTTAATTTCCTATGCTAAACCAACCCCTTCGTATTGTAAAGGGCACTTGCGGGATCTGGAAGCTAATAAGGGTAGGACCAACATTTCAAGTCAGAAAAAGGCGCTGAAAAAATTTGGGGTCCCTAAAACCAAGAATTGGGCTCAAATATTGAAAATTTATGGCCCATTTTTGATAAATTTGGCCTTTTTTCTGGGCTTATCCTTGAGGGGACCCATGCCCCACTCCCCATCCCCGCCGCTCTGGATCCGCCAGTGAAAGGTATGTTTAACAAAACACAAAGGGTGATTTTGAAAAACCAGAGGGGAATGTGTACAAATATTGGCCCTTAATTTAAAAAAATGATACCCAAATCAATAAAAACAATGCCCAGTAATTCCAGTTTTTATCTAAATTGCTCAGTTTATGTGGGGGAGAGCAGGATTTCTTTCAATAAAGCAAAAAAGGTAGGTCCACATTTTTTAGGAGATATCAGGGGGGGGGCTCGTTCGAGCCCCCCGAGCCCCCCCCCCCCCCCCCTGGCTACGGGCCTGTAAATAGGATGAGCCATGCAATGATAGGACCACTTTCCATTTTTGTTCTGTCACAGGTGTGAGAAGGGAAAAATTATATCAATACATGTACTTAGGCCCCTCACTAGATTTGTATATGATTTGCCAGATACAAGAAATATACAAAATATTTATGTACTCACATATATTTGGTCATGTGCGAAGCGTTGTTTTAGATTGTGGATAAGGTTGTCCTCCGTGAGTGGATCTAGGAGACATATATCACTGACGCCAACATTGTTGTCCACTATGGCCAGTGTCCCCGGGTACATCGCCATCGCTGCATTAGCTGTAACATATACAATGAATTATTTAAAGTTGCAACATATATAATGCAAGAATTATTTAAATATTATAACATATGCAATGGAACAATTGTTGTAATTCAAGAAAAAATATGACTCTTGCAACATAAACAATTTAAGAATAAGAATTATATAATGTTATATGCAATGCAAGAATATGTAATGTTGTAACATGCAATGCAAAAATTACATCTTTACTGCAATACAGACAATGCCATTATCATTTCAAATCTGGTGCCAATGGCTGATGTGAAAAAGCCATAGTACTCTATTGGGACTTACAATCAGGGATGGATTTATACAACTACCATTTTCAAACTATAAATCTCAACAAAGTATAATAGGGTTATGTCATGCTTGGCTAGTCTGAGATGCATCAAAACTATCTCTGCTTGTACACTGTGCATAGATTCCCATAGTCAAATCATCACCAGCCATGGACTGTATGACAGTAATTGTCACCTCAGACAGTTCCTCAGGCCATATTTTGTAATCTTGACAAGATGCAAACAGATTTCTGACAGTTTACAAACAGATTTTCAATAGTATAGCATGTAATTTTCAAAGTGCATCATTCAGTTGTTGTGATAGATTATGTGTTTTGACCTCATCTCTTTCTGTAAATTCCCTCCTCAGATATACATGGTGTTCATAAAGTCTCTACAATTATAATACAAAGTCTGTATAGTGTAAAGAGACGTTGCAGACACCCTGTATATTGTATAGTGAATCTAAGATCAACATTCAGGTTAATCTAATGAGCTAGATATTAGCAGAGAGGGATTCATAGATGAGATAGAATATGCAGACCATTCCGACTCCTTCCTCATTAATCTTGAGCAAATAAACAGGAATCCGAACATGATTATTGTCTGGGGTGGTCATGACTTCAGATGTTATACACAAGATGTGAAAAATGAGGACCCAGAAGAAATTAATGACATTCCAATATAGCAAGTTGACACTTATAAAATACATTATAATCAATAGGAGCTGAACCTGAGAATATTTCTTATCAATCATATAAAAAGTTGGACTATAAACTGTATCTTGACAGGCCAGAATTCAATAGACCATATCATACCAGTTTACAAGTTCTTCATAACAATATCAATTACATCTTAATAAATTGACTTGTTTCGCCTGAATTTCTTCCACAGAAATTGGACTTATCTTCATGTTTGCGATGCTAATACTGTAGGAGTCTAATCAATTGAAAGAGTAAGCTCTTAGTCTATCCATAACTTACATGGGGAAAGAGGAGAGGAAATTGGACCTTCAAGGAGGGTGACATCAACCTTCACCTTCTCCTCTGTATCATTAACAACATTCTCAGTATCCTTATTACTATCCATCTGTGTCTTAATTGCATCTAGAAGGCTTGGTTCTTCATTTACAGTATCAAACACTTCATCTTGATCCTCAGGGATGTCCTCCTCACGTGGGTTAAGATCATCCGCAATGTAATCACCAGCAGAGTCAACACTGTACCTGGCCACAGCATGTACTGCACTTACAATCATGTTGTCACTACTGCTACTCCCAGGTCTATAACCACTAAACTGTGGAGGCAAACTGTCAATTCTAACCACATTATTTTCTTGTGATGGTTTCTCTTGTGCCTCCATTTTGTAATTAAAGTCTATATGCTTGACTTAATTGTTTGTTTTGCAGTTATACCTCTATTGATCCTAAATGAAATCTTCGTTTTTTGATTGTTTGTAAAGTGCTTAAATTGTATGATTTGACTCTGTATTACACATCCTTAATAGCAACATATCCATGGGCTTTTCAGTTACACCTACTTGTTGAATGTATCCAAAATGAATTTTATCTACATTACAGTTTATATATACTTCCACTTTCAATTTATCACATCCCAAATATGGACAGAAATACCACGTTTGGTTTTAAATAAAATAAGTTAAAAGTGAATGCTTTTTGGAGGAAATGTTATAAATCCTAACAAGTGGTAAACACCAAATGTACACTGTGGTAAAACTACTATATTTCAATGAATCTTTTAAGTCACAGTTATCAACAAATTTATGACAGCCACGATAAGCCTGCCAAGTTTTAAACTTTTTATTTCAACTTTTTATATGAACATATAACTGCATGAAGTCAGCTTCACACAATAGAGAAAATCTACTTATCGTTTGATCTTAGACCTTAGCTGTCCTAGCTGTCAATTTTATATGTATTTTATTTGTTTAAGTCACTCATGATTGGCTCACAACAAAAATGAGAAAAATAGTAAAAACAAAAAAATATATATTTCACTTTTAGGACAGTGACTCCTGTTTAGATTTTAACATTTGATTGAAACCAGAAAAATGAGGAAAATGAAAAAGCAAGAGAGGCTCATTAAAATGTCAAATTGTCACATTCACCTCGACAGGTTTTTCAATAAATCAACAAGATTGGTCAATAAAGCAAGTCAAAAGAGTTCAAGCAAATTATCCTCTGAAACCTTAACTGTATCTCATGAGTACAACAAAGCTCATTCGGACCCTAAAGAAGCCTTTACTAAGGTAAGAGAAACCCCAGGCCATTCACATAGTCAGAATGCAAATGGTCTGAATGAAATCTCTTAACCGGACTAACAAATACGAAGTGAACAGATTAAAGCAGAAAACATATCAACCCAGAATAAACAATATAGAAATTCGCTCAAGGAAAATGATCAACCTGTTTTCACCAAGGCCAGGTCCTGACCAAGGTCAAACCACTTGGTATTTAGGGTGGGATACAACATGGAAGAACTGCCATATATCTCACAACCTGTCAGGACTTACATGATAACAGCATTTTTGTGGAAAAACACTAAAAAATATGTTTCTTTTATACACCAGTATTCTGGCATATTACTCCAAGAAAAACATGGGCAATAGGCTTTGAGGCGGTTAATGTTGCATTACTTTTAATTTCAACCATTTTTGAGACTTACAGATTCAATAAAAATATAGGTTCTAATAATTAATCAATGGAAAATACATCCTTCTATGACATTTTTTAATGTACAACATTTTATTGAATATGATGTATATCATGGGTTATTAAAAATATTGTAATATAAATATACCAGTATAATGTTTAATTTTTCAAATATTTTCAGTCTTCATCTGACTCTGAGCAACAAAATTGAGCAAATAAGGCAGTTTTCAACCTGTTCAACATTCCTCTCTTGGTATATCATTTAGAAATTACTTTATTTAATTCAACACTTCAGGGTAAATGATTCATTGATGTCACAAACAATGATGAGCTAATTAGATTCATGCACTAAATTATCATCAATCACTCTTATCTCTTCTGGCTATTTCAAAATAATGTTTCATATAACAACACAAAACATCAAGTAATATTTCAATTGTTTGAATTCCAGAAATCCGAATTAGATGTTTCACGATATTGACTTTCTGGAATGGTGAATCCTGAGTGTAATAATTCTTGTAGTTTGCAACAAATCTCTGTACCCCCTCCCCTCTCCTACCTTCTTCTCAATAAGAAGGGCTATACATAGACTTCAGGTACACGATTGTAGGTTTATATGGTGATTCTGGTACAGTTCAGCTGAAAGACTGAACTATTCAAAATTTATGAGGCTTATTACCTTGACCTTCTTCGGCATTCATATGTTAATCCTTCCAAATTCTTAACTTCAAAAATACAGTATCAATCCATGTACAGGGTGTCCAAGAAGTAACGTCAATGACCCTGGCATTTTGTCATTTATGCTTCAAATGTCATGAAACTTGGTCAGAATGTTCCTTGTACATTTATACATATAAATACGAAGTATGGAGTGACTGGCATTTGATTGGCCGATTTTATGGTTGCCATAGTAACACAAGTGCATGGACCCCGGGGCAGTTCAGAATGTACCTGGTAAATATTATGTAAATCAGGTTATTATAAGTTTGGTAAAAATGAAATGCAATGTCTTGGGACTTTTTCAAATCTTAACGGTTTTATTGTTTATTGGGAGTTACCATGGTAGCACTTCTTTGGAGTACTTTATGACATCATAATATGTTTTCTGTCTCTTGGACCGAATTCTTAGAATTACCATGGATGATGTCCTGATTGTATCACAATCAAAGTTGGACACAGCTAAAATACTAGGAATACCCCTACTTGAACAAGCTCCATATTCGCCTGATTTGGCCCCTAGTGACTTCTATCTTTATCGTGCACTGAAGGCTAAACTTGCTGGCCAGTCTTTCTCTTCAAATGAGGAACTTAAGAGCTCTGTTCTGTCATCCCTTGCAGAAATGAGCTCTGGTGGTTTCAATAGAGTTTTCTTGGAGTGGGTAAGAAGACACCAGAGATGTGTGGAACTTGGTGGTGATTATGTAGAGTAACATTCAATAAACTTTAATATAACACTAATATAACGCCAGCAACGGCTATATTATGAATAAATGATGTGTAGTTGAAAACATTATATTTGTAGTCATATTATAAATAAAAGATGTTAACTTCAAAACTAGTGTTTATGGTTATTTTATTTTCCAAAGATCTTACGGATTGCAGAGCTGCCCCGGGGTCCATGCACTTGTGTTACTATGGTAACCATAAAACCGGCCAATCAAATGCTAGTAACTCCATACTTCATATTTATATTTATAAATGTACAAGGAACATTCTGACCAAGTTTCATGACATTTGAAGCATAAATGACAAAATGCCAGGGTCATTGACGTTACTTCTTGGACACCCTGTATCATCGAGAACTTGATCAATACTTTGCACTTTTTGCTTATGCACTTTTACTCAACTAAGATCAATGAACCTATTTTGATATAAATATTGCATATACTACCATGTAACATCTATTTATGTATAATAAAATCTGTAATATAGCAAAAGAATTATTAATTAAAGCATCATTATTACGTACCTGATAGTGATGTTACGGCAATTATGATAAAGATATCAGGGGTGGCCAAACTTATTATCAAGCTTCCAAAATAAATTTATGTCGAATCAATCAAGTGTTTTATGCTGTATCAATCAATCTAGTAAATTATCCTGAATCAATCAAGGAGTTTGAACAATCAAGTCAATAATTCTGCATCAATCAAGTGACTTATGCTGAATCAATCAATTAAATTATGCTAAATCAATCAAGTTAAGTAGGAAATTCATACTGAAGCACCACATCAATGAAGTTCCTTAAATAATTAGCTACCTGTTAACTCCCGGAACCTAATATTAAATCATTGCTGCTGCTGTTGCTCTAATAGTCTGAAAAGATTATGAGTTCTGGTATAATACTCTGGTCTATGATTAACTAGCTAGTATTAACCAATCAAGGTATCCATTATGACTAAGGCTGTATTTTTGTATATACTTTTTTGACAGTGGTGCAAGTGAAATTAGTGATACGGTTTGTGTATTATTCAATTGTTTTACACAGCAGTATTTCGCACATACTATTATCGTATGATCTGTAAAATGAAGCCTTATGATTGGTCAGTTCTTGTGCTGTGCCAATCTGTATTAGTACTGAGATTGTCCACATTGATCATCTCCGTCGCAATACAGAAAATATTGGTACAGAGGGAACATTCTCAGTAGCAATACAGAGGATCACACGATAAAAATGTTATAGAATGATTTGAAGTGCAATACAGGGTATATTCTGCTCTCGATATTCTGTTTTGCCACTAGACTTCATCTCGTTCCAATACAAAATTTCTTGAGTAGAATATATCCTGTATTGCACTTCAAATCATACAATAACTTATATTATTGTATGATCCGTAAAATGAAGCCCTCTGATTGGTCTGTTCTTGTGCTATACCAATCTGTATTGCTACTGAGATTGTCCACATAGTCCATCTCCATAGCAATACAGAAAATATTGGTACGGAGGGGACAATCTCAGTAGCAATACAGAGAATACAGAATATTTCTATGGGATTATCTCCTAAGTAAAATGTATTGGCCAGAAGTCTTATCTCTGTCACAGTAATAATTCAAGAAGTCATCCCCCTGTCACAGTTATAACCCCAAAAGTCTTCCCTCTGTCACAGATATAATTCCAGAAGTCTTCCATCTGTAACAGTTATAACCCAAGGCGACGTCCCTTTGTCAAAGTTAAAATTCTATATGTCACCCCTCTGTCACAGTAACAATCCTAGTCTTATCTCTGTCGCAGTTATAATTCCAGAAGTCTTAACTCTGTTCACACTGTCAGAGTTATAATCCAAGAAGTCTTCCCTTGGTCACAGTTATAATCCCAATCACATATTAATAATCTAAGAAGTTTTTTTTCTATCACAGAGGTATTTACCTTTTAAGCTAAGGATTAATCAATGCTCTTACCTTATATACTTTATTTGACAAAGATATTCTGACTTGCTTTAACCCTTGATTTGAACTTGAACTTTGAAAGAATGCATTTGGCATATAAAAGTAGTGAGAGGACTTGTTGTCATCTTATATGATGTCACGATTTGCCTGGTTTGCACGATGTTATTTTGATATTTTTAATATATCCCTGAGGAAAAATCATAAATAGCTAGCATTTATATACATATGTATGATAAGGTAGTAACACAAGTTTGGTTGGTTTCCTCAAAAAAAGTCATCCAAATACAACATACAAAATGAGGTAATTGGCCTAAGGAAACCTTACCAATTGGCCTTTAATTGGAGGTCACATTCAACTGGATCAAAATCAATCCAAAAATAGAGCAGTACCTGGTAAATATACTACATTCATCTAAGTTCAACATTTTTTGGAAACAGCATTCATTTTTACATTTTATGAAAAGATATATAAAAAGGTCAAATCTCATACTTTTCATGTTATTGTCATTTAATTGATCATATTTCACCAGAATGGCAACATATATGTCCATATATATCAATACATATTGAAGAGGTGAATGATACTTACTCTTATTTCAATGCAACT